GCAAGGGGTGCAGAGCGGATGAGCGTCTCGGTTACGCAGCATAGCAACGACAGGGTAGTGTTGATGCAGAGTACTGGAGAGTGGTATAGCGCAGAAAATGGGGAACAGGGGTCGCTTTTGGGCACCAATCCAGAGGTCGTCCATGCCTTGATTTCGCGTGATACCTGTATAACTGTAGAAAGCACGATGTTTGTTAAGACGATATGGTTGATTATCTAATTGACAAAGAAGGTAATTTACATGTTGAGATTGCTTTAGCTGTCGTGCAACTGGACGAGCGCAGAAGCGCACTGCATAGCATCTATCATCTTTTCCTTCTGCTTCAATGCCCTTGACAGCTTTGCAATCTGCTCATCCTTTCCTTGATTATCATTCAACAGGGTATTGATAATGCCGCTGAGGTTCGCCGCGTTCGCTTCTAACTGAGCCGCACGACCTTCGAGCTTTGTGAGAGCTAGGAGCGTCTTCTTCTCTCACGGCGCATGATCGCCCGATAGATCTGAAGATTGATGATGTTTCGAATATGCTTGTCTTCCATAGTCGCGGCTGCGTTCCGTTGTTGGGTGATTTGAGTTGAGAGAGCTCGCAAACAAGTTGCGAGTGCGTTGCAGCTCTCGCACCAGCCGACCTTGGGACCAGGTCAGAACACATCTTGCGGGTTGATGGCGGAGAGTACATGCCTGGTCAGATTTCTCCATCGTGTTTAGACTGAGGTGTCAAACGCTGCTAAAAAGCTAGATACAGAGTTCCTGTCGAAGGTGCATTTGCTCATTGACTAGTGACCATAGACAGCCTTTATATCCAACCTTAGCGCCGACACTTCACGAAGCATCTATTATTAGACCTATCTACGCCATACGTCGATATTTGGAGTTCAGTCCCAGTCTCCTTGATAGTGCCTAGATCTAGACCCACCCGACTAAGACTCGCTAGGTTGAAAGACGCTACATCTAAAATCGATCTCATGTGAACTTGATCTAATAGCTTTCCTTGCGCGCAACTCAAACTTTGGAGTGCCACAAACTACGTGTGTTAGCTCTGCAGACGGTAGAGTCTCTTAGTCTTACCTGAAACTAGCATATTACCTGCTTCAGCGTCCCACTCCTTGTCTATGATCCAAGGCATATTAAGCTCGTCTGACAGTGGTATGATTCTAGGCCTTGAGGGACCATCTGTCACTGGTTCGGGATAATAGCAGAAGACGGTAAGAATCTTTCTCTCTTGATCCATGTCGTTCAGAGCGAACAGATATTCCTCAATCATACGCATCTGATCTAAAATGTGTATCAGCCTTGTTGTTCAGTGCGTAGGGCATAAGAATATACCTTGAGATTGGAGGACCCAGACTACGGTTAGCCGCCTGACGCGTGCAGTCTTCTGAACATGTGCACGAAGTAAATATTGAGCTGTGTACAAATGAGCTGCTATACCGATACCATCCGACATGAGTAAAATCTTGTCGTGTTTGGTGAAAGAATCTGCTTCCAACCCACCGTAAGGGCCGTCAATCAGAGCAGACATGTCTGCGTTAGCATTTTGCAGGCTGCGAGTAAACCCTCGGTAGCCTTGAACAAGTAGAATGATTGTTGATGCCCGACCTTCGTCTTGTTGAGGGACCCAAGCTACCAAAAACGGATGAGATTCCCAGAATCCGAGGCCGAGGCTGCGGAGCCGGGGTATAGAGAGGTAAATAAACTGTCCAGGTACTACGCTCCAAGGTCGCTTCGTCTTGACTTCGATCTGTAAGATTTCCCCTCGTGTAACAGCTGCTCGAGATGTTGGGCGAAACCCGACATTGCGATACACAAAATGCAAAAGCCAAGTTAGCTTTTGCAAGAGATATGTCGAGGCTGCGATAGTGATGCACACGATCACATAAGTATTCAGGACCTGAATATGAAGCAAAAGCAGGACTATGATCCCGACAGCAAGAATCGAATGTGTTTTGACGAAAAGCTCGTGCATCCTGCTTCGGACAAACACAATTGAAGTGGCTGCGATAGTGCTCAAAACAATGAGGAGCTATGTGATGCGTTAGCATAGATCATTGCAAGAACAAGGATACCTAGGTGACGTACTGAAAGGTCAATCGGATTTACAGCCGATCGCAACTGCGAAATCTCGAATATACCATGAATCAACCCTTCGATGACAGTGATACGTCCGATCCATCGATGCATCAATTGCTGCTTGGTGTAGGAGAGCCGAAAGACCTTGTCCAGTAGAATATTAGACCTGCCACCAAGGTACAGTATTGCAGAGTTAGCGACGCTAAGCTTGGCTAAACGCAGCGATAGCTCAGCCCGAGTTCGGATGAAAACAGCGGATCCTACGACGTTCGCGACGATAAGTAATAAGATGACGAATCCCGCAACAATCGTAACGTCGGAGCTACCGTTAAGCCTACAAGTGACTACACTATACACCGCCCATTTCGTGAAAGTGGAGAAGACGCGCTCGCGAGCTTGCGTGGTGAGATATTGCGATAGCCTCCAGCCCAGTAGAAGCCCTATCGCCGAGCCGTACGCGATCACGTATACAATGATAACTTGCATAGTTACCTTCGTTAATTCGATGGAGCAATGGCTGTTACCTCGAAGCAGATAGTTTTATGCCCCGTATGAACACGAAGAACAAGTCGCGGATTCCGGGTAGAGACATCGGGTTTACCGACTCCAGGAACGGCGTGTAGCAACCTGCCCGGTTGTAGGCGCCCCGTTCTATGTCTCCTACTCCATCTTCCCCACAACAGCCTGTTGGGTATAAGCCACACACTAGCCGCCAGCACTCAGCACGTCGGTTATTCTGGTGATCATAAGTTTAGCTGCTAGCGTGTTTCAATCTGTCGCCTGCGCCTCCCTGCAAAGGAACCAAGCCCGTTTCCTTGTAACTGTGCCACGTTCATGTGATAGAGACCTCAACACCTTATCTACCCGGTAGTCAACACGGTAACCAGCATCCGGAGACCTCCGCATATCACGCACCTAAAATCACTAGCATTCTCATTCCACACCTCGTCTCTTTAAGAATCAAAAATGCCACGCGCACCACCCCAGAACCTCTCTCGATCATTCAACACCCGCTGTACAGGCATCTTTAAGAAAGCGGCAGAACTCCACCAGATCGATGATAGGATTCGCATATCAATTATCGTGGAGAAGCCTGGGATCACACCTCTTGTCTTCACCACCGAAGAAAGAGGACAAAACTGGCCACCGTTTGTCGAGGACTATGTACGTCTACTATCAGTCGTCGAACAGCTATACTGATTGCAAACAGGTTAAGAGACGGCATCCGTTCATCAAAAGGCCAGCTCACTATCAGAGTGTTGTTGATGGTCTCTCGCGCGGCCATGTGCAGATCGTCTGCACGACGTCGTCCTCTTCACCTCCACCTTGCATACACAGAAACGCCACCGACAGTACAGGCAGGGATATAGAAGGGCAAGCAGGGTCGAATGATACCCAGGAAACGTCTTCGGGCCAGCAGCAGCTAGGGGAAGTGTGGTCTCTCCCCGCGACCCCCCCTCGCCCCATACCGTGTCGAACATCCACATCCAGTCCATTGCCAAGAAACATCATACTTCCGTCAAAGATGAACATAGGAGTAGAACAGTAGTGCTTTGTGCTGGAAAGTAGAGTTTAGGTTACATCGACGAAGGTTCCGTAGATATTTCCAGCAATCACTTGTATACCCTTTGTACAGCCAATTCTACTCCTACGTACGATTAAAGCGCAAATTCTGCGTGCAGAGGATGAGGATACGGTATTTAGCCATGTATCTTAAGTACAATACTACGATGACGCTCTGTTGAAACAACTCGCAAGGGTAACACAGTAACTTCAATTTGGTAGATAATAACAGTCACTGTACGTCATAAAGACAAGGCTAGAGATGTTTAACTTTGGTCTAGCTCTGATGTTGATGTCGGAGCGGCATAAGAGCCTGCTGCCGTGCGAGTCTATCTGTCTTGGCTAGTTTTCTCGGGTAGCCGTCAGCCGTGGTCTCGTTGGTGAAGCCTGGTATCCGTTTCCTGGCTATTGTGGATGTCTTCTCTAGAGCTTGACTGGTAGCTTGCTGAATAGTAACAGTCGACTGATACGATAGTGAAGATGGCGCAGCCTCGGCTAGAGCGGAAGTCTACTTATCTATACCCTTTTCGGTCCCAATAGCTAACGTCTGACAAGTCTCGAAAGTCCTGAAAAGGATTTCAGGATCTGTACTGACGATGCGTTTCCCCAGGACTGTTATTGCGTAGTACTCTTTACCCTCGGCAATTGATGCAGCTTGGCGCAACGATTCACTTATCTGAGATACCGCTTCCTCACGACTTGAGCTGATATCCCAGCTATACCCCATCAAGACATCTTCTTCGGAAGCTTCTTCCACGACGAAGATCTCATAACCATTACCGGCTCTCTCTCTCCAGGTGGATAGTGGTGGAACCACCAACACTGCCTCGTCGCTATCTTCCAAGTCTGACATGGTCGTAGACTCTATTGCAAGAGGCTCTGGTATCTCGACTATACGCGGAGTTCTCTCTGCTGTAGAATCCTGTGCGGCCTTGAGTTCTCGTCTGAGCTGAGCGCACTTGGAGCGAAGGTCTTTGTTCTCAGCGCGCTCCGCTTTCCATTTGTGCACTACTTCCCTTGTATCTTGTTTGATGCAGTCCAATTCATGGTCAAGTCGCTGACGTTCCGACGAGCATCGTTGCAACTGGCCTTTCAGATCTCCATTCTCGTTTTCCAGATGTTCTACTCGTGCATCGCGCTGAGCAGAGATATCCTGATACTCACGTTCCAGTTTTGCGTAACGTGATTGAAGTTCAGCATACTGGACATCTGGGTCTGGTGGGCTTACTGGGGGATCGAGGTCCATGGGATCTTGATCGAATACTCGAGCATTCGTGGTTGGTCCAAAGTCAGTTTGCTAGTAGCACGTCAGCGAGAACCTTTGTCGTAGTCAGGACTGTATACCTGAAGGTCTAAAGAGACGAACATGCAGGAAAACAGATCACGACGCACTAGTCTCAAGTTTGCGTTCTCGCAAGGTGGACCGCTATAGAGCTGTGGAAAGAACATAATATGTTTCTCCTCAGCAAAGTCGCGCTCGAAAGGACGACCACTTCTACGATCGAGACTAAGATGGGTGCGTCCTAGGGCCGATTCGGGTATATCGAAACTCTCGTCTGGTCCAACCGCTGTTATGACTCGCTAGACGTGGTCGTCGGAGAAGTCAGAACACATTGGCTTTGCTTTCCGAAGGTAATCTATAGCAAGCTGTGCATGGTAGTGTTCCTGCTTTTTCGTGATAGCTTGCGCGTGCGATATCCGAAAGCCTCGGGACAAGGCAAACCTCGCTAGATGTTGCCAGACTACTGGATTGGGTCCCTTTACAAGAGGCTTTAGCTCTCTAGTTTCCTTTCTAGGTGTAGATGCTGTTAAGCTATTAAAGTGGCGGCTACAGAATGCCTACAGTTCTGTATACGCAACTATTATGGCCTCTTGCTGGCTGAGCGCAACCTGGATTTCAACGTCCTTAGTCTCATTTACTTAGACTATATTCTTGCTCGGAGTAAAGAAGAGCCCAGTGAAACTTGAGCGTATAGTACGTTTCATCTATTCACCTAGCAGTTATCTAAGCGCCTCGCAAAGAGGCTCTAAGTATTTAAGCGTTTCGAAAAAGGTCCGTAACGAAGGGATGACGCTAGGAAAAGCACATATGTTCTCGAGTAGAATCTTTCGTATGTCGCGGTCCTGTTAAGAGGAGAATATCTCCCTACGTTCCATAAGATCGACTACTAAGCTCTTGTTGATGTCCGAATATGTAGGAGCTAGAAGTTCAAGGTTCTGCACAGTATCGGCATCAACAGCAGAGAAAGGCAACGTTGTATTACCGCAGCGCAGAATCTTCTTCTAAGATCTTCCTATATGCTCTAAATACAGCGTCATTTCCTATCCTTGTCAGGGGGTTTCTTATCATGCCTGGAAGTATACATACTTCATCGCACTTAAGCCCTAGGAGTCTGTGGAGCGCTCCTAGTTGCAAACTAGACCACAGCCCTGGCATATCGATTAAAGCATCAAAGCCGGCAGCAAGTGAAGAACGTTTGAGAAGTTGCCGCAAGTCTTTAGGTTTAGATTTCTCTAGGTGAGACCACCATCGTTTTTCGGTGTCTTGATCATTCTCCCGGTGATAGAGCCTTATCTTGCGAAATATTTCGCCATCTGAAGGCTTCTTCTCGCTAGAGTATGACTCTATGATACGGACTAGCACTGGCTCAGGGGTATCTGCTCTAAGGTTAATAGAAGCAGGGAATGGCTGGCGCCTGACTAACCATAGGAGAACAGCCTCACGATCCACCATTTGTCGTTCTCGTCCAGAAAATGTCGTGCTGCTTCAATGCGGTGTATACCAGAAAGACACTGTACGTCTTCAATCTGTAAGGCAGGCGCATCTTGTGGCCATCGGAGATGACGCATCTCGTCTAAAGACATGCCGTGAGTGGACAATGCCGCGATCAGGTCACCATCTTTGACGATCGCATTGATCACATTCTCCTCTTGCAGCCTTTCGCAACCGACTTGTTCATATTTCTTCTCCAGGCGTATGACGTTCTCGTGAGAGGTCTTTCGATGCTTTTCCTGCACGATCTTGTGTTCATACTTCAAAGCGTGCAGCGGTAAGCGGGCAATTCCTCGGTAACATAATAATTTTTTCGCAGCAAAGTCTTCATCTGGCAATTCCATCATGACGCATAGTCTCATTTTCTTGGACTGAAGCGAAGTTAAGAAGACTCTGCATCTGCACAAGCATCAGAAAGCCGCGTCACAAGCTCGTAGTGAGCACGACAGTCACCTGCCTCGGTTTGCGCGCCCGCAGGAAACACGACCCCGATCTCCAAAAACGGTCGTTCGGTAACAGCCCACCCAACAGCATAAAATCCTCGCCAGACCAGACATTCGCTGGTTATCGCAAAACATGACTTCTTTCCCCTGGATTACCTTTGAGACTTCCCCCAGCGGGAATGTCGTAACATACTACGAGCCTCAACTCAGACCGTCACTTCCCGAATCGCAAGCTCTTGCTGTTGAGAACAGTTACCGCCCGTCTTTCGTGACCTTTGTAGGACGGAGGTCCAAAGCGATCCTTCTGGATAGACTTCTAGGAGGCGACCTTGCAGTGCCTGTACACAAGGAAGTATATCTTTGGTCACTACCCCGGCAAAGCGGAGCCACGCCGCTTGTCGTAATAGATTGCGGCATGCAGAATTCTCAGTCGCAACCCCCCAATCCCACCGCGGCTAGAAGCGCGACGCCTGCGACGTCTTGGTCTCTACCAGAGATTCGAAATGTGAATGCGACGCTATGTGCGCGAGTCTTTTCTCCTTTTTCTAGTTTGATATGTTGTTTTGTTAGTGATCTAGGGGGCCCAAGAGCTGTCGCAAACTGGCTAGCTGATCTTGTGGACGCAGTGGCAGCACGAGATTTACCGACCGTGCCCCGCATCTTGTTAGTCGTAGAGACAACCTCAGATACATTCGACGAGAGAATCGCGGCCAACAAAGCAACTGTCCACCTCCAGCAGGCTTTGCAAACAAACAACTGCAGCCCCGAGAATCAGCTCGATCACCCCAAGATTGGTGAGATCGAGGTTTTTGGGACTGCAGTCATAAATCGACGAACCGCGCGCGGGCTTTGAAGAGACGCTTATTAGCGATGTCTGAAGCCGCCATGAAGACGCGCTAGCGTTTTTACGCATTCAACTACGCCCATTTCCAGGCTCTCACCAAGCAAGCACTAAATCAAATTAGCAACAACATCACTAAGCCTTTACGATTCGCTAGTGCTTCGCGACCACGAGGCTTCACAACAGATCTTCTAGAAACCTGTCTCTCAGACTTCCTTCTGCAAATGCCTTCACAGGCCTGGCTGTGGCATTTTGCCGCACCTCTTATAGCTTCAGCTCTGCTACTCGCTAGCTACCCACCTGGATCTCATAGTAAGATAAGCGCCTGCTTAGTCTGAAATTAGCTGACCGGTATAGACTTCGCGCCTGATTATCTTTTCGATGCACTATACTCTGCTCCGTGCAAAGCGGCCATCGCTACTTATACGATGCTTGAGGACATCCAGCGTAAGTTTGTGTCAGCGGTGCTCCAAGAGTTCAAAGATATCTTCAAGACGTACGTCAACGACACGTTATCTACAAGCGAGCTTCACTGTCAAACCCTGAGGGCAAATCATACCCCAGATCTTAAGAGCCATCGGACTCTTCTCCTGTTTCCCCTGCCATGCCAGAGAAGGTGCACATGCGGCCATGCCTTATCGATACATGTATTCGCATTTTTGGAGCTCGCTCCCGCTCCGAGAGAAACACCTTTGAGCTCACAGAATGCATTCTATGTGGAGTCAATTACAAGAGTTGTATATTTCGTTTTGTACCTCCAACAGCGGGCATACGCACGCTGAGTATAGATGGAGGCGGCGTTAGAGGCGTGATTCCCCTTGTCTTCCTTCAGCATCTCGACCGCCCCGCGCCGCTAGGTGCGATCAAGGATCACTTCGATTTCGTATGCGGCACCTCAGCTGGTAAGAATATCAAGTTACTTGATCGATGTAACTGACTATTGCAGGCGGTCTTGTTGCTATAGGCATGTTCTTGTTACAATGGGGCGAAAGGTCCATAGAGCGGTACGAGGCAAGTGGCTGCAAAGACATTCGGCAGACGAAAACCTTAATATCAAGGACTCTTCAACTTATTGTTGCATATGTTGAGGAGGCCAGTACAGTCTCGCTGCTGTTCAGGAAGCGTTTGGGAAGACGTTCAACTCTCCTTGAGATGTTCAACCCCTGCGGAACGACACCAAAGGGTTTCTGTCACCACTACTGCGGTTGATGATTCGCTTCCATGGTTATTCACTAACTACAAGGGAAACGGCCTAAAGATGTTGGTAAGTGGGATGGCCTCATCGTGGGAAGTCTTTATTCACCGTCAATAGGGTACGATGTCGTTCGCGCTGAAAGCGCAAAACGATATTACTGTCAGTGATGCGTAAATTGACGTTGCCTCTTCTTTATCACCTGTCGGAACTAACAGGCCTGGCTGTTGCACATTCGCCGGCCCCTTTGGGTTTTCAAACCGCAAGCGGTAGGCAGCCCTAAACACCTACCAAGATGGGGGTTTACAACATAACAACCCAGCCAGCATAGCTCAGTGGGAAACTCGTTTCCTTTGGCCCCGAAAGACAGTCCTGATTGCTCTTTCACTTGGCACCGGTTGGCCGAGTCGGGAGCTTAGGACTTGCTATCCCCCGTTTCTACACCCGCTTGTTCAAAGCTTTCCGAAATCTGAACGGCGAAGACGCATGGGTACCTTCTCAATTCTTTAGATCCCAAAGGGAGTCCAGTGTACCACCGGCTAAACGTAAAATTCACCGGCCCCGAGCCTAAACTTAGGATGCCCAAAACAGATACCGGTCTCAGGCGGTAGCCCTCGAAAGATCGATGAGGATAAGATCACTTTAACGTCAGTGGTGGACTCAATGCTAACTTCCATGTTCACTTTGGGTTGGACGCTATGCCCATCCTTGACGGAGATGGTTACCTTTGCTTGGGCTACATCCACTGTCCCTTGATCTCCCAGTCGAAGGTCTCGCTACTTGTCAATCAGCTACTAGAAACCTCTTCGTGGTTTTATTCAGGATTCCTATCCCATGTGTTCAGTTCATACCCCAAGGACTCCACCATTCAAAAGACGAGTTAACTTTCCCTGGAAAGTATGGACAGGTAATTGCAATTTTCTCTAGGAGGTATCACTAGTACAACAAGACCTCTAAGTGGCTTCCGACTAGTTTAAGGAAATTAATCAAGACCAAAGTCTTGTAAAGCCTTTGGACCCTCGATCATGTAGTATCGGAAAAGCCACTACCTGCCACTCGCGAAAGCTCAACGCCATTCAGGGAAATTTGGACCGCTCAGACTCAGGTCCGCGTCCAGACAGGCTTCTCTGATTAGCTATGTAGTATTCGAGATGAAGACTAGTGTCAATTCATGAATAGATCAGTTGTTGCAGTGCCACAGTCATGGCGGCGCGTAACAGGTATCATTTACTGGCCGCAACATATCGGAGGCACATTGAGATCATTTATTTATACTCTGTGCTCTTTCTCGTCTTTTTCTTACCCTTCTTCATTCTGTCAGCACCAGAGTTTTCCAAAATGTCCCAGCAGTGTGATCAGATGGTTCCCAAAAAGCGTCACAACAGCTTAAAGGTAAGCATCGTTTGATTGAAAGGTGGCAACCATTGCTAACGGGGTGTAACGTCCGTCCCTGGGTAGCGGGACACCCTGCGTGACGGGACGCCACAGACACGCTCCGACATAACAAACTCAACAACAGGTCAGAAGAATAGATATTCTCGGAATAGTAGTCTTAACCTACAAACTCTATTCTCTCTAGATGTCTTTAGAACCCAAATTCTCTACTGTGAATACGACAATTTGCTATGAGCGTCACGCGACCGCCTCGCTTTGGCTGGCAGTGGGTGCGTCGAAAGCTCATGCATCTTGTCCAAAGTCCGTCAAGTTACAGCTTGTTACATCATCATCCTATCCCGAGCACGGTGCTTGAGCTCGAGAGGCTGTTGTGCTTCTGTGCTAATTCCAAGTCCGCCTGCCAGAAGTGCCAGACGAGGAGGACCCCGCACACGTAGCTTAAAGTAGCTTAGCTGTAATCTACCGCTGCTGACGCTAGAGCTGTAGCTGTGTGGCTGAGTGGCGCTCTTGCCAAGCGCTCTAGGACACCCGAAAACCGGTTCGGATTAGGAGCAGGGAGGCCCTGGCGTATAGATCATGTCAACGAACACACCTAGTATCGAAACCGTAACCAGCCTCTAATACAGCCATCGTCAAACTTCGAGACACAGTGCAATGGACAATCATAGCTAACGCGAAAACATCTATCCCACAGAGATAACCTATCGCGCCGTCCTACAGCTCCGCAGACCCGCCGTTCATCCCTCGTCCCACCCCCGGCGTCCTTGTACCTTTTCGAGCACATCGCAACCGATACACATACCAAGTAGTAGCCAAATGTCGCTTCTAGAAGAACGCCGTCGTTGCAAGGGTGTACAACGGTGGGAAGGGTGTGCATATCTTGGGGATACAGCTGTCGTACGGTCATACATCGAATGGCTCCTTGCATGAGCACTGCAATCATTAGGGCGGTGGAAAGGTGCTTCAGTTTGATCTCTGAGGTGATGAGGAGTTCGGATCGTCGATGATTATGAGCGCTGGGTAAGGGCAGAGCAGAGATGTGATGGTAGCTACGCATAGTAAGGTACTACGCTATCTAAGGCTGCATGCCGTCCTGTTACTGATAATGACCCTTAACTTATGTCTCTTCGCAATGCCATCCAATGCGGACGTTCATGGCAACCCGGTCGCCGGTGTGGGTCGGCCATCCCTATTAGTGCGGTCGAGGCTTTCGCCTGCGTTATGTCAAGAGCTAAAGGCGGCGATTCCCTGTTGATAGTTCTGTACTTCCTTGTCACCTACTAAGAGCATTCTCAAGGCTTCTATATAGCAAATACCTAGTATATATACTCGTCTGCATCCTAGTCTCCCTCTGTAAAACAGAGTTATAGAGTATAAAAGACACGCGAAATGTTTCTTACTTAATACAACTTACGTCCCATAGATCTGTCGAAATCAAAGCTGTATATTGACACCGTTCCAGAAAAGAACATAACTATGATCTTTAAGGCACCTAAGGTCTAGGAACATACATTCCAAAAGCCTCGCCGTGCGGAACGGGACAATAACCCTGGGTCTTGACGTGAAGACTCAGTGTGCGGCAGAATGCTCTCATCACACGGTTTCGAAGTAGAGTCTGAATGTCTTTTTACCCTCACAATCAAAGTGGGACACATTACTGCTTAGGAGTGTATAGGGGCATGTACGTGTCCGCTTTCCGCGTGGTAGTCTTTCACTCGCTGCTGTCCCCATCATTGTCATCATCACCACAATAAGCCACTAGTACTTTTCGCCTCATGTATATAAGCTCCAAACCAAAATTGCATGTGTATTGCCCTCTAAAGACAGATTTTTTCTTGGAGCACACCTATGCTGCTTCTTGTTACGTCTAATATAGCCTTGCTTACCTCCTCCGCCCCCACAACTGCGTGATAATGCGACAGCGGCACGAGCGCTACGTCTTTGATGATGATGCGCATCTCGCACATTGTGCGGTAAACCGGTGACACTACGATTCCTCTGATATCATTGAAAATGATCTGAAGCTGTACGTAGAGCTTTCTCGCCATGGTGTTATCGTAACTGCACAAAGCGAGGATAGTCAAATGCGAAGCTGCGTATGATAGCTCTTGACTAGCTTCTTCTCCAGAGAGCTCGAGTAGTTTCTGCGAAGCACTGAACAGAAGTAATGAACAGCCAGTGAAGCTGGTATAGCTAAATCCAACACCTTGCGTTAGCTTGTGAACTGGTTCCTATTGGAGTCTACGTACACAGAAACCCAACAATGCGATCGGATCAAATTGTCAATCTGTAGCAGCGACGCTACCCGAGCGGATTGTCGTGCGGCTAAGACGCATTGCTCTTCGACGTGTTTTAGAGCGTCCAAATTTTCCGAGTCGATCGAGGTATTGCTTAAGCGGAACTTAGCAAGATCAACTAGACAATCCCGATAAGGCTCGATAAACAAGCCTAAGAACAGTATATGCAACTGCAAAAGAGACCGCTTTATGTGCCACCTTATAGTAAGTGGATCTGCAAGACTGAGGCGACTCAGCTGCATCGGCGGTGGTAGGGTACGGTGCCATTCGTTAAGAGACTCAAAATGGGCCGCAGCCTGCGCGACCTTTGGTTGAGTTGCTCTCTTCATGTCAAGCGCTATATATGCGGCTAGCCGGGCAAGTTCGCCAACGCACTCTTGAAAGACTCTACCCCTTTGCTCAACGTGCGGAGGAGGATGATATGACTACGCGGAATTAGTAGACAGCCCAGAACCATGAATGTTACGTGTACGCTACTCAACGAATTCACAGGGTAAAAGGTACGTAGAGTTGTACAGTCAGATCTTGTTTGGTAACCCGTGATTCGTGACCCGTATTATATGCAAACCAGCTGAATGGATGTTAGTGACCTAGAGACTGCCAGGAGAATATGTTGAGCGCGCGGACCTCTCTAGAAAGACGATGCTTCGGAATACTTTCCGCCAATAGAGTACTTTCTCTTCGGATGTGTCGGCCTCAAACGATGGAGACGTAAATGCCTGCCTACCCATACTGAGGGCTAATACTTCTGGTTGTTAGCTAATAGTATCTGAACTCGAAAAGCATTAGTCACTTACACATAAGTCTCCTTGCACTCTCCACACTATTAGTGAACCGACATATCGCCAGGCAAGCAAAAAGCCGCATGCGGCGGAGGGCACAAACATCTGAAGATGAGGACAGCATGTACAGGAAGAAATGTAGAAACTTCTCCCCAGCCAACATCGTATGGGCTTCTGCATCGCAAATGCTTCCTACTGCTGATATTGCAAAGACTTCGGTTGCGTGCACTGGCTTCGAGTCGTCTTGTGGGTGGTAAGCAGATCTAACAAGGTCGAAAGCTTCGTCTCGGTTCCAAAGAAAGAGAAGCGAACCTGTACCATGGACGAAGGCTTCAACAGCTTTGGTTGTCATGTCTTCTGGTGGAAACGCAGCAACTCTGATTAAGTGAGGGTTGATACCAAGGGCTTTCGAAATCTGGCGCACCTCCTCCACCCCATCCTCGTCGAGCGATGCCGTGTCTTGCGAGCCGCCCTCTAAATCTGCATCATCTGTGTCCAAGCTCTCTTGACGGGTAGCTTCGAATTCTTTCTGAGCCTCTGAGGCGGTTAGGGGACCAAAAGAGGCGAGTTCGGAAGTGGATGCAGCTTTGTTATCCAATATTGTTGTCGATTTTGGGCTGTGCCGTCGTTGCTTGAATCCCTCAAGGTACGTTTGATGGCTCCGGTATTCCTCGGTTTGCTTGTAACGCTCGAGCTCGTTTTTGTAATCTTGCAGCCTATCAGCAGCCGGTGTTCCCCAGATGGTCGTTCGTTCTTCATGAGAGAGTTTCCTCCAACGCTTTCCTGTTTCCTTGGCAATCTCAGTAAAAGACGAACGGCTGAGTGCTGGATCCTGTCGAACATGCTCGCTGAAGAGCACATAAGCCGTTTTAGGCTTGGGGGGAGCATTGGGATCTGGTCGCGGGTGCCGTCGATACGGTCTAGTCGTACGCGCTGCCTGCTGTGAGGGTTGTGGCGTCGCCTCGGAATGTTCTCCAACGGCGGGTAGCCCTTCGGATGGCAGAGGAAAGTTTTCGGCCTCATACACTCTATGCGATGCGTTTGCACTGCTATACTCGTTTATTGCACGCTGAAGTTTCCGACGATCACCCCGCTTGAAGTTCATTTTGGCCATGTCGGTTTCTGTGATCGCTGTCACAGTCTCCCAATCCTCGAAGCCGTTTTCTTGTAGGCGCTCCTCGTACTGGCTGAGTCCAAGCCGAGCGAGTGCCGTACTAAGCTTGAATGCATTGGTAGTATGCTTCCCCAAAGGTCCATAATCCATCCTTCCTACAATCTCTCATAGATCTTCGGCAACCGTGCTTTGATTGAGTAAGACCTTGATACCAAACGAAATTGATCAAAAATGGTGGCTGCGCCGCGTTGCGATACAAGCGTAAGAGAATTGTCCCTAGACTGAGGCCCGCCATATTTCTCACCTGTTATGTCTGCTCACAGATCTGACGTCATACAGGAGCCTGACGTCATACGGATACTTATACTCGATTTCAAGTTACCTCCCACACTCTGTAGCGAAGGACTTCGTTACGAAAGAAACTAGGTAACTCGGACCCCTACTTTCTGCAGACCCCTACCGGTACCGTGTTGCCCCACCGAATAAGCCAGCCCACACAGCCGACACAGCCATGGAGCCTCCGGTCCAGCGTCAGCGGCGATATATTACAGCTAAGCTACTTTAAGCTAGGTATGTGGGTCTTCTTTATCTGCCACTTTTAGCAGGCGGGCTTGGATTTAGCACAGAAGCGCGACAACCTCTCGAGCTCAAGCGCAGTGCTCGGGATAGGATGATGATATAGCAAGCTGCAAGTTGACAGACTTTCGATAAGATGCATGAGCTTCTAACGCACCTGCTGCTAGCTAAAGCGAGGCGGTCGCGTGACGCTCATAGCAAATTGTCGTATTGCACAGTAAGCAGAACTTGTTTCTAAAAGACATCTAGAGAGAATAGAGTTTGTAGGTTAAGACTACTATTCCGAGAATATCTATTCTTCTGACCTGTTGTTGAGTTTGTTATGTCGGAGCGTGTCTGTGGCGTCCCGCCACGCAGGGTGTCCCGTTACGCAGTGACGGACGTTAGATATTCTCGGAATAGCAGTCTTAGGCCGTAAAGTCTAGTATGTGGTAGTATCTTCCAGAAATAGGTTCTTTTTACCGTGCAATACAATAATTTTGTATAAGCGTCACGCGATCGCCTCGCTTGAGGTAGCACTAGATACGTCGAAAGCTCATACATTTTGTCGAAAGTCCGCCAACTTTTAGCTTGTTAAACTACTGTCTTATCCCGAGAACTATGCTTAAGCTCGAGGGATTGTCGTGCGTCTGTGCTAAATGCAAGTCCGCCTGCTAGAAGTGCCAAATGAGGAGGACCCGCGCACCTAGCTTAAAGCAGCTTAGCTGTAATCCATCGCTGCATCCGTGGCTGTGTGGCTATGTGGCTGTGTAACGCTTTTGCCGAGCGCGCCAGGACACCAAAAAACCGGCTCAGATTTAGGAGCAGGGCTAGGTTTGAAGTCCTCCAGCGTTTAGCTCGCGACAACAGAATACACCCAGCATCGAAACTACAACTAGCTTCTGCTATACCTATTGTGCAACGCACGACTGAAGCTAACGCGAAAGCTCCCATACTATAGGGATAAACTATCGCGCCGCCCTCTAGCTCCGCAGACCCGTCGTGGATCCCTCGTCCGGCACACCACGTCCTCGTATATCTCGAGCACACCGTAACCGATATATACACGCATGATATAACATACTAAGATCGGGGGCTAGGCTTTAGCAAGTGGAGCGAGCGTTACTGGAGACACGCCGTCGGTGCAAGCAGGTACAAAAGTGGAAGGGTCTGCATATCTTGAGGATACAGCTATCGTACAGTTATAAAACGAACGGCTCTTCGCATAAGCACTGCAATTGTTAGCAGCATAGAAAGGTGCTTCGGTTTAATCTCTGAGGGTGATGAGGAGCTCGGATCGTCGATGCCCGTGAGCGCGGAGTCAGGTAGAGCAGAGATTTGATGGTAACTATGCTTGGTAAGGTACTAAGCTACCTCAGACTGCATGCCGTCCTGTCATGGACAACGACCCTTATATCTCTTCACAATGCCGTACAGTGCGGACGTTCATGGCAACCCTGTGGCCAATGTGGGTCGGCCACCTCCTGCTAGCGGTGGCAAATGATATTCACCAGTAGTACTTATTATGGTTACATATCACACGTGTGTGGCGAAGACGAAAGTCTTTCTGCGATCTTTTGTCATTACTTGAAGCCCTAGCTATAATGCTTCGCCAAGAATGGCAGGAATCGAGACGAGCTTTTCTAGCTAAAACCATTCCGCCGTCGAGTACATGGCATTCTCAGCGTAGCACTTAGATTTCCATATGTTTCTGGGTTGGCCATGCTGTTCAGTGAGGAAGGGTGCTTCACACGAAGCGATATACTCTCTCCATAATTTGCATATTCCACTATGTTATATTTTTAAAAGATTGTTTGCCTGGTTCGCCCTGCGTCGAAACCACTGGACACGTTGGCCGCGTTAGGGTGCTGTTGAGGCGCAAGCTGCACCGCCAGCTCCACCCAAAACAACACGAACACGATTAATAACAGCACCAAAAAAAATTCTGAATAGTACAAACGTTTCGCAAGCATGTATATAGTACAACACCAAGTTATCGCAATATTATCACGATTTGCAGTGGCTCTACAGCTTCATATTTGACTCCATGTACATGTTGGTGGGGGTGGCTCAACAAACGCGTCGGTCAGCATGTGGCTGTCAGCGTACCCAGGGCTATCAGTCAGACTGAGCAACCGGCACGACACGCGCCGTCACTTTGGCTTCATATGAAACCTGTTCATCATCTTCGAGGCGACGATTCCGTGTCAAATTGACCAGTCCTGCCATCGCCACAAGGTAGTGGCAAAACATTTACGAACTTGACAAGCACAAGAGGTGCAATTTAAGAGCGTGAGAAGGCCACCATCCAGGCATCGATAGCGCGACAGGCACACTTCGATTCGAACATTTGATTCGAATTGCTACAAATGGGGTAAATTCCGGTACCCGGGTTACACGCAAAACATTTTGCTAACCTTGTACAGTAAATTCCGCTCCAGGAGCGGCTGGTAAGTGGACCCTATATGGTTGTGGCGACGAAGTTCACTAACATGTGCAAGCCTTACATGTCGAGCGCGCCGCGTCAAATGTATGCCTGTTGTTCAGAGTTTTCCTCGTTCCTTCGATACTGATTCTGTGGGCAGGCGACGAGACCCGTCCACTATGCAAAGCCTGCGGCAAGAAGAACCGCCCTTGCCAGTGGAAAGAGCCATATACTAAGTTCAAAGATTACCGGCCTGACGAACCCACGTCAAGTAGATCCGCTGCCGGCGGCACCGACAACGAAACCGACACCAAGGAGGACATGATGGATGTTGACGGTGTTGATGGTGTCGCTGGCATCGATAAAAGGAATGAGGCGGTTCGTGCGAACAGTTCCAGCGAGAAAGGCTTCAGCCGGAACACTTCACCGAAAAGTCGGAAAAACTGTCGGATCGATGGGGCATCGGAAGACCAGTCTACCAGCGTCTCCTCGCCGTCGATCCAGTTGTCGCCAGACTCACCATACTTTGTTCCCCAATCCAAGGGCACAGCGGGTGGCGTGTCGGTGGCGAGTTTGCTGCAGTCGCACAACCCGGAAGACATGCCAGAGAGCTCCGTGCCGGTGCATACTCGCCAGGCCTTGCAGCAGACGAGTTCGCACTCGCATAACTGTAGGGATGTTTCAAAGGGTACGAGAAATTACTCGTCACAGTCTGTTCCTCTGACGCACGAAGAGGCCTTGCTGGTGCACCACTACACAGAACATCTCGGTCGCTGGCTTGATTGCACTGACGCCACTCGTCAATTCACACTGGTGGTACGGAAGAATCAAAAATGCCCAGTGCTTTGCTACGCCGTCATTTCCTTTGCTGCTCACCACTGTAGAAAGGAGGCGACAGCGGATGCAGCTTATCAGCGCTGTGTTGCCTTGCTCATCGAGCAACTAAGCGAAGACACTGCTAGCCACGACGAGACTCTTCTGTGCGCCGTTGTCGTACTGCGCTTCTATGAGCAACTGAACAGTGAGTACCGATGTGTTCGTTGTGCAACTACTTCCTGATATTGCCCCTAGCCTTGTCCAGCACTGGTTCAGATGATGAACAGCATCTCGCAGGCTACTCGGCCATCATTCGATCCTCTCGGGGAAACCGCTATGTAGATCCATCAGCACCCACCTTCCGCGAAGCCGTCTTCTGGGTCTACGTACGCCATTGCCTCTACAATGCTACTATCAACCAGCAGCCGCCTGATATTGACTTCTCGTTGCAACTGCACCCGACCCCGGGCGAGATGCGAGATGCGCACCCATTGGCTCGATTAAGGTTAGAGACAGCTTGGGCCAATCAAATGACATGGAATCTTGCATGCGTCGTGAACTTCTGCTTCGATGGTAGGGAACCCCAAAACGAGAAAGCTCACAAGATGCGACGCTGGCAGGAGCTGTGGGACCTTGTTCAGACGTGGATGCATGAAAGACCGGACACCTTTAATGCGGTTTTCGAAGGTTTAGCTAGCGGCCAAGGCTCCTTCCCCAGGATTCTGTTTACGGCCGACTGGCATAGTAAGTCCCGTATCCTTACCTCTTCCCTTAGATGCTTATAGACCTATCAGCTGTATCGTTTGGGTATTACCACTTTGCGCATATTATGCTGCTACGTTATAAACCAGGCCCGAAGTTTGCGATTCGCAATGTCGAGAACCTTTCTGATACAGATGTAAGGATTCAAGCCATTGGAAAGCACCGCTAGGTACTTATCACAATAGCATCAAATCCTATCGCACGCACGCGCCATTTGCGGGGCGAGCAACAGCTCACCGGAGACTGTGCCATTGGCGATTACCGTCTGCCATACCATCTTCATCTGGGGACCGCTCGTATGCAATTCTGGAGAGAGGGACCAAGTGGTACAGATCCTGAGCAATTTCGAAAAACATCACGTCTGGCCAACAACATGGATCATCAACGCACTGAAAGCTGAATGGGGCATCCCTACTTCCTCAAACTCTCCAACATAGTGCTATGGGAGTGGAAATTCTACTCGGCATCAATCCTTTACTCAAGGAATAAATGAACTGAGCAGTTGCTCGTACTAAACGACGCCTTTTGCAGCTAGCGGCTTGATAGTGTCAACTAGAAAACGACAGCTGTAGAAAGTGTTGAAGACTATGCGAAACGCTCAGCGCGGCACGAACGGGGTGTCTCAACATCGTTTGGCAACCCTTACAACTTCCAGGGAGAGTACCGTCGTGTTTGATACCACACATATAGTATATTGAGCGCATGGAGAACATAGGCATGATTATAGTGTGGAAATCGGTAGTTAGACGTAAGAAGTGGAATGCTAACGCAAATTGAGCACCATAGTCGACTTCGAACATCCTTCCATATCGCCTTGTTCAGCAGCCTTGATATTACACCCAGCTGTCTTTTGTTATCCTGAGAGATTAAAGATGCTGGTTGTGTCTTCGCATGTCATCAGTCCAGAAATAGTGCATCAATATAATCCACTCCTTGAGTGCCCCAAAATCCTTCGTGTGCTTGCCATAAGCACGTGGTAAAAATGCTATGACTACAGCCGCTGCAGAAAGACTGGAGGCCTTCTTTGGGAGAAGGACGTTCTGGCGTGCAAACTTAATCAGTAATGCTTGCCTCACTGCATATGTTCGAGACATCAGGATTTTCAATGCCCAGGGTTTTCGGTCAATCGGGCATAACGTGGCCTGGGCTGTACGGAATTAGCTGTGAACGGCGGCTGTAGAGGTGATCAATTCGTCAGCCAGGCAGGGCGAAAGTCCCATTTGTTGAAGGCTCTTCCGAATCTACAGCATCAATCGTATCGTTCGCGATCGCTCGAAGTATCTGATTGAACATGGTGACATGTTAGAAGCTCGTAGTTCATCTGAGCATAGCCTGCCACCAAGAGCCTTATCATAGCACTAACCAACGACCTTTCAGTGTCGCTCTAGATATATCTACACCCTCGCAGCAATGCGCTAGCGTACACCGCCTGCAGCAAGAATATGGGCATTTTCTACGACGAGAAAGCGATCGACTTCCTGACCAACGAAGGGTACAGTGTCACGCTCATCGGCAAGGACGTGGAGCCGCTCATGAATAAGGTCGTGAACCCGAAGTCAAAGCTGTGCAGGTACAGTGACGAGCTCACGCTCGTCTACGGCATCACGAAGCCGATCGCCGGGTGGCTCAACGACGCGGCCGGGATCAGGCAGGTGGACGAGAGCTTCTTCATGCCCTTGCTCGCCGACAACCACAAGGACTTGTACAAGATCTCGGGTCCGCACAGCCCCATGTACGCATCTCAGTACTCGAACATCACCTTGATCTCGTGCGCTCCTGATAACCAGTTCGCGGTCAACGCCATGCACTTGCCCACGTTAGCGGGGATGAGGTCTGACTTAATCGAGAAGGTAGTCAATGTCACGGTCCCCTCCTACTCCGGGCTGCCGTACATGAACATGCACAAGTACCCGATCAAGATCGACCAGGCGGACATAGGCAGAATTTCGGATCCGTCAACGCACCTGCGCTCCAACACGATAAAGTGCAAGGTCAAGCTCCCGACGGCGAACCCGGGCGTGTTCAGGTTGCGGACCGTGCGCATCTCCCTATAGTCGCACCTGGGAACTGTTCCGCTAGTTTTTGAAGTACAGTATTATCACTCATTTTTGCGCTCATAAACCTCAAGTCATTTTATCGAAGAGTCTCTTCATTCGCTAGTGTTCCGTCGATCTGTACATGCCACGTTGCAGCCGTGTCTATCCAACAAAACCTCAAAAGACAAGTTCAACATGTTCTATGATACTGAGTGCGAGACATGCGATCGTGAGTTTGGTAACCAGCAGGCTGCCATACAGCACATGAATGCACTAACCCACTGGGCCCAACGTTACGAATGCGATACTGTACTTGGTCTGCGCATCTACGTTTTCGGGAACAGTCTCCAGCGACTTGATATCCAATCAGCCCAACAGCACCACACCCAGACATCATCCTTGTGGTCTCGGTCCACAGACCAGCAGGATCATTGCCGTTCTCCCGATCGCTGCTCAAAAAGGCTCCGCGGCTCTCAGCCGGAGTGGAAGACATTTACTTCTAACGAATTAAGCCGCAGGGCGGCAATGCGGACAGCGAGAGTCTGATGCTTATGTTCATGTCGCTAGAATGCGGTCGCGGACCATCCAAGTCCGATGAGAGATGCTATCGCTTCTTATGGCTCGAACGGCGTATGAAGATTGTCATAGAGCCGTCCCACGACCTCTGGATCTTAGACCCTAGCGCAGGCAGACTTGCGAGCTCCCGTGTCCGTGCATGTGCCGTCCGCCACCTAAGCCTCCGTCCCACATAATGTGACGTAGACTTGTGGGGCCTTGCCTTCCTGTGTGCTGTATTTGCCTAGTACAGTATCTGAATTCACCATGACTTTCTTAACTTCTACGCAGACCTTAGCTCGTAACCAAACGCTATTGACACGATCAAGTTGGTTGCAGAGGGTTACGTAGTGAGTAAGCGTGCTCTGGTGCATCAATGGTTGAAGCGAAACAAAATTATGACAACTCACGATAAGGAGGGTTTAGAAACAGGGAAATTGCCGGACTCGGTTGCGGGGACGGGCGCGCGGAGGATGGAGACTGGGCCGTTTCCGCGGCTCGCATAGCCCCTATCGACCCGGCCAGCACGCTACGCGGACGTAGCTAACCTAGACGTTCTCGCAAGAACCCGTCTGCCGTCCCGACAAAGCTAAGAAGCACTCCAACAACATTCTTCATCTCGCCGATCGATCTCTCTGATTCCGCTGCCTGAGACAGAAATCTTCGTCCGTTGACATGTGCGATTTTGGCCAGGACTCGGCTGATCTCTTGCGATGCTTCACCATGCTAGGTCATGGGATTGGTAAGCCACCCGCCCCATCCAGGCTGGCCCTGTGACGCTAAGTAGTTGAGTCTAGTATGCACCTCCACGCTTGGGCTTTTGCATCGTCCAGGTTAACCTAATGGGAATGAGCGTTCATTGGAGCACAATAGCAAAAGGAACCTCCAAGATATTTCCCCGAACGTAGGCGCAACATGTTCGTTGTACTAATAGGAACCAGCGGATCCGCGCGGCGACTGCATTCCTCATCACGTAGATGACGAGACGTTCCCACACTAGCTTGCTACTCCCCATGGCTTCCAATCCTACCGCAACTCTCCGGTCAAGCGAGCCTGCGACAGGTACGTATCGTCGGTACACTCCCACAAGCCACATCACTCACTCTGTCGTTCGTAGCTGTCACCGAAGGAAGATTAAGTGCTTTGGCGAAGGCACGGGTCCTTGCAAGAACTGCGTTTCTGCTGGTCTTGCATGTACATACAATGCAATCCCACAGAAGAAAGGTCCTAAGGGTAGCCGCGCCAAAGTCCTATCCGAACTTCGCGAAGCCCAGCTTGCTGCCGGATCCCCAATCAATCACGACTTCGATGGACGGTCAATCTCTTCCACGTTTGCTCGCACTCAAGGCCTGTTGCCTTTCGCCCTCGTTGAGAGCTGCATAGAACATTTCTTCACGCATGTCTCCCCTTCAGAGCCCGTCTTACATCGGCAAAGGGCGCAGGAAGTAGCCGTTGGTATGGAGCGCTCTACAGAGGCATATTGTATGATCGTCGCACTATGCGCCTACGTCATAATCCAAGCTAACCATAAACCGCCGGTCAACGTGCTGCCGCGTCAAGAAATGGCTCACATGTCAAACGTTGGCATCGGCCAAGTGTTACTGGAAGAGTCGGTTCGCGTCCGACAGGGCTATGACTATCGCGAGAACCCCACCCACATGAGTGTGCTTACTTCGTGTTTTTATAGTGGCTGCTATTTCGGATTAGCACGCGAGAACACAGCATAGACGTATCTTCGGGATGCCACAACGCAGGCGCAGTTGCTAGGTATGCATGACGAGGAAACTTACAAGCATGACCCTCTGGATACATCACGGAAACGAGTTCTGTACCGGCTTCTCTTCATAGCTGAAAGGTATGTCTATGGATATCCTCGACATAACACATTTCCTGAAGGCTCTCGCTAACTTCCTGTAGGACTTACGCTTTGCACAAACACCGTCCAATCTCCTTGCATCAGATCACACATTCGCCTTGGCTAAACGAGGTGCCTTCCGATCGGCCCATCGCCTCTGGACTCAAACTCATGATTAACATGTTCAAGATCATTGACGACACTTTCATCCACCTCTGGAATCAAGCGCACAACACGCATGCAAGCGCTGCATGGATCACACAGGTGCAAACCCAGCTCTCAGAAGCCGTCCCATCACATTTCGAGTGCACTGAAGCGCAGGAAGTACAGATTCGCATAACTCAGCAATGGCTGCGGTTACAGGCATGGCAGCTGAGTGTCTGCCACGGCCTAGTGAGCAGTGTCTCCGACGACAATCCGCTTACGTTCAAATATCCAATCGAGATAGCCCAAGACCTTCTTACTATCTCTCATCAGTTTTCCCAGCAAGTCTTGGAAGCACACGGCGCAGGATTGGTGAGTAGATTTGGTTTTTCCTACGCATCATTAATTCTCAACTTTAGAGTTCGTTCCCTGTCGAGCCATCACTCGATGCAACAATCTCTATCATATTTCAATCTTACTAGCGCCCACTAGGCAACGTCTATCTCTGACGTCCGCGCCCTGACTAGCCGAGTTGCCCTATGTAACCAATCCTACACATGTAACCCTGCGCACGTAACCCCGCACATGCAACCTTGCGGCGTCTTACCACATCTGTCATGTCGAACATTAGCTAACAGCGCTACAGATTGAGAAGTTGTTCGACATTGCTTGTTGTCTTATTGATGTAGTCGCTTGCATATCTTTCTCGCCGAAGGCATTCGCGTTGAGTCCTCACGATTGTGTGTCCCGCTTCTTGACCTTTATATCGATGATCCGTGGAGGAAAGTCTCGGTATCTTCCTCTTCTTCAGGCCAAACTCTCCGAAGTCCTGCCCAATTTTCGGCTTCCCCGATCATTAGACCTTCCCGAGACGGTCCTCGCCTCTACACTCGGTCTTAATGCCACTTACTCGAGGACGGTCTCCTCCAATGTCGCCGACGACTTCTCCGCAAATCCCGCTGCAAATTGCCCTCTTATGTTCTCGAATGACCTGATCCGTCGGATCTCCGTCCAAACTGGTGCCCAACTCCCTTTCAACACGATCTAGTAATTCATGATCTCTGCATCTACCATACATGTCGGCGATCTGTCCTTGTACGACTCTTCACACAGCGCGACGCATTCTTCTAGCTCTGCTCCCAGAAGCAATCCCACGACACCCCATCCTTTGAGGCTCCCATGCCACAGCCACGGTCGCAGATCGTGGAACATTCGACCATGCAATTCCCCACCTCGCATGATCATATGCAGAGTCACCATCTAGGCGTGAATGCCATAGCATTCGATACAAGGTTTTCTGTCTAGAACTATCCTATTAATTCTACGATGTTGTCGCACGGTTAGGTGCGGGTAATGTAGACGTAGAAAGTCAGAAGAAAGTGCATGTGTTGTGTTGTTTGTCGCATCCTAGCTCAGCTTATAAGTAGGTCATCGCACGGCATGATTAGTAATAAAGTTCATGTTCACGACAGCACTTGGCCTGCAACATGCATCTACACATTAAGGTCAGGTGCAAGCGAATTTTGGTGGGGGATCAGAACGGGGCCGCGGAAGAGGAGCGAGATCCATAACTGGCACCGGAAATGGGCCCCACAGCGGGAATCGGAACAGGATCCACGGATGTTGTGCATGACCAAATATGGATCCCGCTTTGGTTCTCACAATGGGTCCCGTACCGATCCCTCTCCAAAGATCAGATACCGGTATGGCACCAAGCGGCAAGAGCGTCCACCCCGAACTATTCTCTTCGCCATGCGAAGAGGAATTGCTCCACCTTGGTAGTCCATTCTAATGAGAGAAAGGTAGAAATAATGTAAGTTGGATAGACGGATTGGAAAGAACGATGAAAGGATGGGACGTTGCCAGTGTTTCTAGCTCTGTTGCTACTATCGCTAACTATAGCATTCTAAAGGTCACGAGTTTCCAATAATCCTCGACATATTGGTAGCAGTCTCGCCCCATACAATCCCATAATCTAGACCTCTCTACTGGGCAGTGACCTTCTTTCGATTAGCACGTCGACAGCCTGCCGCGAGAGCTGGCAGACTAGTGGGCGCAACATCAGCTTAGCATCCTGCTTCTGCACACCGTTAAAACCTAGTCACATTCTAGTCCAATGCGATGACGAGGCGAACTTCACGCATAGTAAGAGTTTGTTAAGTGAAAACAAACGAAAGTCTTTATTTCTCCATATATAACTCACGAACGACTTATGGCACCCTCCTTTCCCAGCCAAATTCATAGAATATACCCATGACATATTCAATGAAACTTGAAGCCACCCCACTCACAGAGCACGCGTATGACCATGGGAATCCGGGCAACCAAGACGAAAGCAGAACAAACAACAACAGCAATGTCTGTAGGATGCATTTTGAGTATGAGAAGGAAAGATTGACCATACCAGCCTCTAGTTGTGAGTGCGAGCGCTTGTTTAACGAGCTAGGTGATCTCCTCGAACCTCGTCGCCGCAAGATTGGAGCGCAGCTGCTTGCAGCACTTCAACTAGTACGATCGTGGGCGCGGCGATGCTTCACGATACCAGAGGAGGCAGCCGCAGCGTATACCGACGAAGAAATGGCGAGCAAATACAGAATGGACGATTGGGACGAGCCGCTGCAGTAGACACAGCAAACATATGTCCTTTTAGGCAACCTAATCTACCAATCCTTAATCCCTCAATCAATCCCCAATCAACCCGCTCTAAACCCTCCCCTCAAGCAAGCCAATCAATCCTAAGCCTCGCGTCGACCAAGCCAAGCCAAACCAGAGGCTACGGATTGGCACGAATTGATTGTTGACAACTGTGTCTACGGGAACTGCTCGTCTTGAGATGGGAAAAGCTAGACGCTCGTGTTAGCTTCCCCCTCACGGGCTCGAGTAGTATCTAGTGTTCTCCGTCCTTTGTGAAAAGTTGACCTCTACTATTCTTGCCAACATCAAGTTCTTACGTTGACGTCGTTGTACGTATGGGATAGTATAACAATAAATGGATCATTTGTTAGGTATGAAGCGAAGCCTCAAGGCTCCTACAGGAGATACTCTAGAAAAGAGATCTATCGCGAGGCCTACAAGTAGTGGAGAGCCTCATCACTCCCTCTACACGATATTGATAGCTGCATATATCAATTAAAGCCTGTTGGTATCACCAACAAAGAGCATTGCGATAACAGTCATTGTGCGAGGCTCTACAACCTCAAGTTGTAGGGCTGTTTAGGTGTTCGGATCGGGCGTTTCGGGGTGATCCTCAGTACCGAGGCTGACGGCCGTTTGGGCCACCCACCGAAATCGATCACCAACTTTTACGACCAATAACTCCACCATCATGAGCCCGATTGAGGCTGCGATCGCGGCAATCGAGTCGCTTGAACCAGGAGAACAATCCAGCTATCGCAAAATTGCAATCCAGTACTGTTACAGCCGAACGTCTCTCGCAGTCAGACACCGATCCGATCGGGTGACGAGAAGACCGGCGTTTTGGTTCCTTGTCGTCGCCATCGTCGTCGCCATCGTCGTCGTCGAGCACTATAGGGTTGTCTGTTTAGTTAGCCAGCGTACGTCTTGTAACACCAACGCTGACACACCTTTAGAACCAGGCGATCTGCCGCTCAGAGGCTCGACGCTCCTCTCCTTATCTTCCACAGCCTCCTTCGACGGGCCACAGGGTGAGCCAGCACCCTCTACCGCCTCTTCATTACGTGCTGCCCGCTCTTCCTGTACGCCGCACACAGGCTGCTTGTCGCTACTGCCGTCGTCCAGGATGATGGCATCGGTGGTGATTGCGCACTCTCGACCCGCGCCTTCAGCCATCACTTCTCTGTCTCTAAGCTTCTGCCGCTGATTTAAGAACTCCTGGTTCAGACGGTGCTCACTTTGACTCGTTTGCTCGCTGGTCGCGACTTCAGCTGCCATGGGCCATCCTGGCTGCTGTTCTTCGTCATAGCTTGGGGAAGCGTCTCGCCCTTGACTCGATCCAGGATGCTCTCTTGTGACACTCTCCGCGCTTTCCGTCACGTCTTTGAACCGCGCAGCAGGGCCATCTGGAGGTGTTTCGATGTGCTGCTGCTAGAGCAGCAAGCTTTGGCAGAGCATAGGGTCTGAGACGATGCGAGCACATCAAGCAGCATCGTCCTCTACGCCTGGCGACAGGAAAGCTTCAGCACCCTCATCCGATATGGCCGACTCGGGCTGAAGAACTACCTCGCCGTCACCTCCGTGCTCAGTGTTGGACCTGAGAGCGCCTTCGCCGACCAACACGCTCGACGAGACATTACAGCCTGTCGTGCAGAGCTCGTGCCGGTGCGTTTCGTGTCTCGTGTCACAATCTTCGTTACCTGTGTCCATCCGCTCCGCTGACGCGTGGCTCAGCCCGATGGTGTCGGTGCATTTCTGTGGATTCATCCCTCCTGGTAGCTGGTTGCTGAAGATGTCAAGCTCAGCCCAAAACGAATCTTCTGCCTGCCCGCATCCATAAGGTCTTGAAAGAGCTGGAACGAAGGCATGAATTCACTCACCGATTCTCCGCTCAACGTTTCTGCACTCCACAAACGATCGCAGAAGAAGAGACCGTTGCTATTGGCGCCAGCCGATCGAGACGGCTGAACAAGCTCGGCTGTGTGCCAGAAGAAGGAGACAGCAGAGGCAGACATGGCAGCTTGAAAGGGTCGACGGACCGGAGTTTGCCTCGGACAACACAGTCGCTGGGCAGCTGAGGACGGCGAGAAGACGAGCTGGCGCGGAGCATCGTCTCCAGCATGTCAACTGACGTTTCTTCGTCAATGCGTCTTGCCGCACACCCTCGCTCCAGCATGGGCTGCTGTCTGTTGCACGGCGACCGATAGACGGCACAGCCGCGCAGCCATGCTCCCGTCTTTCAAGTCTATCTTCCGAAGCCTTCCCAGGTTGTAGCACATACCGTCCATCCCCGGATCGTGGGGCGCGTTACGGTGGTCGACGCGGTGGATCGACGGTCTCGAAGCAAGGCTCAGCCGTGACACCAGCATGCCAAAGCACGCTTCTCAACGCATCGATGGCCTAGGTCGGCGATCATAACGACCAAGTGACTAGTAGGCATAGGACAAGCAAGTAGCGTCTTTAGAAGAGCGTTAGTCCAGAACAACTTGAATATGCGTACGCCCTGAGCCTCGCTTTGATTATGCTTCCCCGTCTGCATGGCTATTGGCATAGACACTGGCCAAGCGTGGATGGTCATACTGACGAGTCTTGCCGACTTGCGGTGACAGTGAGCCTGGCTAGACCGTCCAGCACCTGCCTCAAGCCGAGCTTGCTGCAACACAGCTGCGGTATCCTCCTGCACGCGATAGGTGTTTCGAAATTATGCCCTTCTCTTCCAGCTGTTCGTATGGCGCTGGTGGGGCACGACAATAAGGCGAAGCCGTATCGATTAGCGACAGGCCAGTCAGGACTTGTTCTCACTGCGTAAGCGGCCTCTTGGAAGACCCAGGGGTTTGATGCGTCCGTAGAAGGTGGAGAGAGTGTGCAAGCGCTGCGGGGAGCTTGTCGTAGGGACGTTTGTTGCTGGGAAGAGCTACTCAGATAGAGTAGCTAATGGCCGCGAATCTTTCGTGTGGATTGCTTCGGCTAGAAGACACGTCCTTACGAATGGCCCGTGCGAGGAGGGACGAGGGGCACTGACTTACTGTAGCTCTCCTTGGAGCCCGTCTAAGGCGCATTGAAAGAGGCATAAGTTAACATTTTCATTCCTCCGTCCCGCCTTCGTGGTCAAAAAACAATGCTTCGCCATGTCCTAGACGCTCTCTCATCTTTGCTCGGTTCCACGGTATCGTTAGGAAGCTTCAAGTCGCCCATAGACGCCAAGAGACGGTGTAATCGCCGCTCAGTTGGATCCGAGGTTATGCCTTCAACATTCACGGGATACTCACCATACACGTGCTCCGCCATAAGCTTCTCCCTCTTTTCCTCATTCTTGATTTGCGCCCAATCTTTGAGAAGTTTGACATCCATGGGATTCATCTTATCTCGCAGAATTCGGAACACGAGTTCGGACAGGTAGAAGTTGCGGCCTTGGTCGCGCAACCCCCTGGCGCACAGGATGAGGGTGGCTCTCGTAGCCTTCATTACAGCTGGGAAGTGTTGCTGTTGTGCTTCGGGGGTGCGCAGACGCTCCAGCGAGTCGAAGCCCAGCTGAACGAGCACCTGCAGCAGAAAGATGTAGTAGTCCTCAAAACCATGCCGATGATAAAACATGTGCAGAAGCGTTTGGAGGCTCGCTTTTGATTCGCTATAGAGCCTAACCGGACTAAAGCCTGAGTATTCCTGGAACGAGCCTCCGCGAGTGAGATGGTTAAATGAGGTCTCTGACTGCAGAAAGGGATGAAACGTCATTGTAACGAGGTTGTGGTACTGCATACTGCGATTACGAGGTTAGTCGGTTGAGTGTCATGTGCGGGTCTGGTCCTTACTGCAGAAGAAGCTGGGTTGGCATGGCAACGTTCTGTGGTTGTAAAGGTCCAGGGAGGTCATGGAACCATTCCATAAGCATAGTGTGATAGCGTCTTGCCTGCTCTAAACCTAGGCTGTTCTGTCCATCGTTTTCCCGAAGCGCTTTTCCCGCTATGTCGTTCATGACTAATCTAAGCTTGATAAGCGCTAGAAATGTCTGTCCTAGATGAGTCGGAACCTGGAGCAGAGGGCTAATTAGAATATGTTCTAAAAGAGATAAAGCAAGTTGTCGATCGTATTTAGACTTGAATGCTCTGGTTGAGCTCATCAGCTTCGCACATACCAAGTGTTTTGCGAGCGGGTATTTGACCCAGATCTCTCCAAAGAAACTCGACGCATTTTGGTAGTCCGGCAGCCCATCCTCGGGTGGATGTCGAGCGAGTGGCGGCTTCATCAGGTAAAAAGAAGAGAACCTAAGCCGTTGTTAGAGCCTACCCGTACATGACATTAATGTAGAGGAACTCGTAAACTCGTACGCTTGTTGGGAAAAAATGCCCCAGGCAGTGATTGTTCTCGAAACGCGCTCCTTTTCGCTGCTATTGGGTGCAGTTGCGGTGAACAAGCCTAGCTTGTCTGCCAAAGCCAAAGCATGAGACCACGTTGCCCACCCCATACTGTCCATCCCGTTCACGAAGTATATCCTGCCAAGGATCGTCGCTGCCTGAGCGGTCGGAAGGCTACATACGGCCCGCTGTTGTTCCAGCTCCCAAAGCCTTTTAGTCTCGGCCATAAAATGATAACTGTAGGTTTTAGGATTCCAAAATTCGGATCGTTGTTCTAGAGTACTCAGTCCGTGCTGTCGCCATTGGTTACCCTTGAAACAAATGAAAAGGCCGACCACTGGGGATACTTACACACGCAGCTGTCAAGATACAGTTGACCAATAGTGGCGAGCAATAATCATTTCGTCCAGCAGTTATGTCGTCCAGGAAATGGTCCTTGTGGAAACAAGGCCACAGCGGATACTCATAAAGGAAGTAGCATTCCAGAAGTCGTGTAAGAAAGACGTCGTCAGAACTAATTGATGTCCATCTGGACGGCTTCAGTGACTCAGGAGAGATACTCATGTCGTATATACGAGCGCCGGAATAGGGAGCGCGATAGACTGCTTCGCGCAGTTGCTCTTCGATCTCTGGGCCCCGGTGTGCCGCCTGTGTCTCGGCGGTCATAGTTTTGTACAACTTTGAGTTCAAGTACGGGTTATCTGTCCCAGAAAATAGCGGCAGCATATCAGCGAGATACGGGGACGTGAACTGGTATGTAGTGTCTGGTACCAGCATCAGTTGTAGGCGGAGGCTGCCATACTCGACGAATCGCAGAACTGCTTGCGTGTCGGCGCCTAGTCGAGTTCGTCGCAATATCTCGTTAGCGACATCAAGGGTTGTGATTGAAGAAGAGCAGATATGTGCTCAAGGAGGTTATCAGACTGGAGGCACATCTGTCCATATTTGCGTTTCGTGACGGACTGATTCGACTGCGGGGCGGTACTGCTGTAATTGCAGGGCGTATGTCGCCTGCGGCACTCTTGACATTGCGGACGTTCGGTCGAGCACTGCCTTGCCCACATCCCCCCCCGTTCCCAAAATAGCTCGACTGTGTGTATACCTTCGTGATGCGCCCGCGACATCCTCAATGCTCCCGCCTATTGTCCCCCAGAGCTATGGCAGGCGGGGGCCCGAGGCCCGCACGTCGGTCTGTTTGAGATACAGGTGTGTTCTTGTCCATAGCAGAGTCATGGCGTGTGCAGCCACTTTGGTACTTATATATGCGGGATGAGGTTCGGGTGTCAATATGACGTTCGGCAGGGAGCGGCGGTGGATGCTCCTTCTGGCCCCTGCTACGCCATTCGCTACGGCCCTGGGCCCCTAGCCCCTATCACAGCGCATACGTCTGCTTCCCACTTTAGTATCTCGAACGAAGGCCCTCCTAACGCCTACACATAGTGCCAAGATGAGAAACACCGCTTTCCAATTCCCTCGAAAACCCTTCCAATAAACCCCGCCTCCCTCCCTAAAACCCAACCCTTTTGGTGCGGACACATGCTTTGCACGCGACGGATGCCCTTTCTTATCTACCCTTGTACCCCGGACACAACAAAAACCCCGCCTGAGGCCCCCGGCCAAAAAAGGACGCGAAACAAAGTAGCCTTTCCCGGATTTGGGGCCTGTTTTTGCCCCCACAGTACGGATTGTCCGAGTGCGTAGCGAGGTGGTGAGCAAGGCAGTAAGTGTTCCGCGGCTCTAACTTTGTAATTGGGTCGGCGCCCCCGGTGTGGGTCCGTACCGTGCATCCCCCAACGATGGTTAAAAAGTCCCCCGACCCCTTTTGGGCCTACTACGAAAATGAGGTTAAAACCGCTGTTATTATCGTGAGATACTTTGGTGGAGTCTTCTATATGCCTATGCAACAAAGTTCCTCTACATAAATTATCTATATAAAGTGGCGGTGCGGCCGCTGCGAGTCGTGTGAGTGCGCGCAGGCGGAGGAGGCGTTGCAGGCTTTGGGCGACTGCGCGCACCTACACTACGACGGGCAGGCTTGTTTTTAACTGCAGAAGCTTTTGAGGTTATAGATTTGCCTCTTTGGGACTGTTTTATAGCTTTTGCAGAGTCGCGAGCCTGTTTAGCAGCGGCTCTGGCAGCCTTCCGCGCATCTATCGCTTGGCGTTCCTTCGCCCTGACCTTCGCACGCTCTTCCTTCTCCCTTGCCCGCTTCTGACGCTTCTCTTCCTCAATCTTCTCCTTTTATAGCTTATTAGCAGCTGCTAAATCCTTCATCTCTGCCTTTCTTAGCTCCTCCCGCTGCTTCTCTTGTTCTGTAACAACCATACGAACGCGCGCTCGCTGGATAGACCTAGGCATACATGGGCAAACCGGTTAACCGGTTACGTTGACCGACCGAAACGACCAATCGAATCAATTTATACAGGGGCAAAATGATCGGTCGTTCTGGTCGGTCTACATTTTCAACTGGTCTGATTGGTTAGACCGGTCAAATCGGTCAGTCGTTTCGGTCGGTGAGCGTAACCGGTTAACCGGTTTGCCCATGTATGGACCTAGGAGACCAGATCATCGCTCCGCCGTGGTACTCCTGGTGCTGTTGCAAGTCTAACTGCCTGCTGGATTGCTTCTGGCGCTTCTGTTTTAGGTATATCTTCTGCTGCAGGCCATCAAGTTCGTTGTGAAGGAGCTCTACCTGAGTTGAGAGGTGGTGGATAGTTTGACCTAGCTTCTGCGCACCTACACTGCGCGGATCCTTCACCTCCGCACGCAGGGTAGTGCAAGCTCTAAGCCAATCTTCTGAAGAATAAGCTGTAGAACCAGAGGATGTCGATCCTAAGTCGTCAGGTGTTGTGTGGCGGAACCTATCAATTATAACGTTGGGGTTTATCGGGCTTATCCCTGTGGCAGTAAAGGATTTTTGTATAAGCTCTTTTGTGAACATGTTCACCCAGGCAGGCCAGAATAGGCTAAAGAAGTCACCTTTCGTCAATGGAGATAGGCCTTGAGACTTCTGGAGGTAGTCGTCGAGCTCGGAGGCGTAGGCAGAAGAGAGAGGCTTGAAGCAGACTACGTCTAGCGGCTGCAGCGTCTGGGTACTGTGTGGGCCTTGGTGCTGCAGCGGGCCCCAACCCCTCTCAATCACGACCGGCCAGGGTTGGCTTCCAGCAAAATATAGATAGCTGTATATATCTATCAAGGCTTATAGAACTCAACACTAGAGAATATCGCGTTGATAGCTTTTGTGCGTGGCTCAATAGCCTCATGTTTGATCATAGTGTTGGTATTCAGGGTGGCTTACCACGCCGGCCACTTCAGAATCATTCTACCAACCCAACCAAAAGACACACTTCTCTAAAACCCTATGATATCTTCCATCATCTGCACGCTCGAAAATCCAGCGCCTCTATGGCAACCACTTTCCTTCATTCACACCAAAAACCGAGCGCCTCTCAGGCAAGGGTATTGCCGGTGCAGGTCGGCCATCCTCTTCTCTGTGATGGTAAACTCTAGTGGCAAAGTTCTCTCGTTGTTGTCAAGTATCACTCGTAAGCACGCTTATGCAGCTTAGCCTATCCTACATGTGCATGAGCTTCATGTTCAATAACACAAAAGCAGCATTAGACTCCTCCCTTTGAGTTCTCTCTTTGTCATCACATTAAGCTTCGAGGGAAGTCTCTGTTTCAGGATGGTAACAGCCAAGGCCTGACAGCTCGTTGACACGCTGACACAATAAAGAAGTCACCTCAAGTGACAAGCCTGACAGAAAAACTCCAACACCGTAATTGCCTCAGGCGCGTACTGAAAAAGAAATATAAAACAGCTCTACAGGTTTCATAACTTGATTACAAAGCCAGCGCATCTACCAACATCTCCGTTATTGAGGGACATCATCTTAGTATGTCCCGGTAAACATAGCTCAAGCAGGTGGCTACTGATTGTTCTCTGGAAGATTCGGGTACCCATCCATGTATCTTCCATAGGATGTCTATTTGGAAAGCATTCGTTATACAGCAGATTAAATTGATCGAAATCCGTTATGAAGGGGGTGCTGAAGGTTGGAAGCATTTCCATGGCCGGGTCTAGCATAAAGCCCTGACCTAGTTGAAATTCCCCAGATGCCTGTACAGGCTGCTCTTTTCCGAAAGTGGTAGTGGACTGGGTAACGACGTTGGAGTTCGGGGGAATGTTGGAAACGGCCTTGCCTGTTCCTCTGCCAAAATATCGGTTTTCAGTTCGGACTTGCGGTTCTCTTTCCCGATGATGTCCCTTAAATTCGTACGCGCGCTTGGGGACGGGGTTCCCGCGACTCATCGACCGGAGCCATCAACCATCGATGCTCTTGGAAAGTTCTTCCCTTTTTTGGGGCGTGCCAGTTTCTGAGGACATCTCAACGGAAAACCCTATCGCCTGCATTATGAGTGTACGATGCCCCCCACGGACTTCCCTGGTAAATAAACATCAAGTCTGGTTGGTCGGGAAAACCTCGTTATTTCTTGGCATGAACCATTTGCCGTGTTCTGTCAAAAAGGGTTTCCGAAGCATCAGTCGGGCTTTGATGCGTCGCTCGAGGCGGCAAAGGCGGGCAGTGATAATCAATCTGGCGCTATGGTAGTGGCGAAGCAACAATTGCTCGCGCTGGGCGCGGTGTTCTTGAATAAAGTCCCTGGGCCAAGTCCTTCAGGTAGCGCTTCGCCATTTTTCGTTTCTCTTTTTGAGATAATCTCTTTTTTAGTCTGTTCCCAGGGACCCATCGATTTTTTGGAAATGTTTCGGGGGGCTTTTGCATGATGACAGCGACTTTTACATTGCCTGTAGGAACGAAACATGCATTCCGGTTTCTGAAACCCTCTGGTCGATATACGTAGAAATGGTTCCAAAAATGCGATATTTTCCCTCTTATGCCTATTGGATTCTTTTCCGGGTAGAACATTGTTGCTGGATTGTTCTCGGGAACACCTGCGGCAAAGGAAACCCTGCATTCATCGTTAGGTACAATGCAAGGTCGACCGATGAGGGCGCATAGTTGACCCCAATGGAGTGTAGGCTCCACCATGTTCGTCCAAGCTCTCTTTATGTTTGGGGAGGGAGAGGATCTCTTGCGAAGAGAGGGCCCAAAAGCAAAGGGCGAAATGGGATGTACCTATCATCATCCCAAACTCTAGAGGGACAACGTTAATACTATAAAAGGCAGGCTATAATCTGGACTTTTCACCTGCTAACATGACCAACTGTCAAGAATATAATGACAGCAGACCGGTAGCCTAATAGCGTTAGAGTGTGCCGACAGACATCCCAGGTACTCGTAACACACCTGAATTATTGGCAGCTAGGAGCATGAAGAAGTGGCAACTTTGTCTAATCCAGAATCAATTGCCCCCGTCATGTAGATGAGGTGATCTCGTTCGTCTGTTCGCCATTCTACCTGTATCAAATGCGCATACTGTGCTCCTATTCTAAAACCAAGTTCAATTCCTTGCCAATGCTCCGGGGCTTGGGAAATTCGTTTCGTTTCCCGGGGTTGATGTACCTTCGAAAAGGTCCTCGAAAAAATTTGGATACAATGGGAAAAAGTCTAATCGTCCCCCTATAGCAGTCAAACAACTTCTCAGTTGTCTCTGGGGATGGAAGTTCGTATGGGTCCACCATGGTGTCCACATCGAGGTCGTCCCATCCAGATAAAAATTGGAATCCCAGACATTCGGATTTGCCTACTTTGGGCGATCCTTTTTGAGTATGCAGGCATCTTCTCGTTGCCCAACCGCCTCCTTGTTGCTGCCTTGTAACTTTAGAGTGACCCATAGGGCCCCTCCCCCCCTCTGAAGTTCTCCCGATTTGAGTTTTTACCCGCAACCACAACTTCAGAAATTTGTCCAACGAAGCCCGGCTCTTGACTCGTTATTTCGAAGCAGATCCTGTCTAAGCTGGGGGGGGTATGGGTTTACTGACCCAGAAATGTCGGCTGCTCCTCCCAACAACGACTCCTCTCGACCGTTTCCCAGGTGATCCCCCGCCTAGTAGACACAAAGCGGAATCGTTATGTCTAAACTTTTCGTGTATAGTACTAGCAACGCTATAGGTTTGAGAACAAATGAATCGAGAAGTTGATCAATTTTTTCTGCCCTCCATTTTCAACATGGCCCCCCAGATCTCTCAGAAGGCAAGGGCTGAATGTTCTGCTCTGTAGCACTGTTCAGGAGTTGGTTAGGCAATCATATAAGTCTGGAAGACGAACTCTTTAACGATCCTTTCGGCCAGTGGATAGATGCAAGGTAAAGTCGTCTAAAAGTTCCGAATACGGCTGCTCGGTACACCTGATCTTGCGCTGGCGACAATAATCCCCCTGCTCTCTCTACCTTGGTTTGATCGGCTTTGGCAGGTTTGGGGTTTTATTTTGGGGGTTTTGGGATTGTCTGTCTTCTCAGCCGGGGATGGCTACTTTCGCCTTTGGGCGGGCCCTCAAATTACACTAGGGCCCGAAAGGATGTTAATTAGTTTCAGGTAGCGTTCTAAAAGGGCTGGTGTTGAAAGGTGCGATGCTGCCGTGTATTTTGTTGGGTCGGTCCATTCATTTATGACGTGAGGGCGGGACGCGGGATGACGAAAGAATCCGGTATTTGGCGGGGATAAGTGGGGCCACAGCGGCTTGATAGGTGTGATAGGCGTTCAGTCACTTTGATAGCCCATCAATGGCCTGCTTCGACACGCTGCCGCTGTTAATCTCGCCCCATGCAGGAAAGAAGATGGACGACCCGCACCGGCCACAGCCTTGCCATGAACTTCCGCACTGGCTAACGTTGCGAAGAGACATAAGGGTCATTCTCGATAACAGAACGGCATGCAGCTTTAGAGAGCATGGTACCATAGTAAGCATACAGTAGCTACCATCAGATCTCTGCTCTGCCCTTACCCAGCGCTTACGAGTGCGACGATCCAAACTCTTCGTCATCCTTAGAGATCCAACTGAAGCACCTTTACCACGCCCCTAATGATTGCAGTGCTTGTGCAAGGAGCCGTTTGTTGTGTAACCGTACGACAGCTGTACCCCTAAGATATGCAGACCTTTCCACCTTTGTGCGTGCGTGCAATAACGGCATTCTTCTAGTGACCCGCACTCCGCTTACTGAAGTGTAGACTCGGACCTTGGTACTCTGTACCATCCGAAACGTCCATGACCGTGAGTGTGCTCATTTCCTTGGTTTTGCTGCTCTGATAGTTTGATTGGGGATCAATGTGGGTGGTATTGCCGTTCGTGGGTGGGTCCGCAGGTTGTTGTGATGGGCTGGAGCCCAGTTGGTGAATCCTCGATGATATCTCGGTCACGTGCGAGAGGTGCACTGTCCACAGAATCCGGGTGCCCTCTTGAGCACCCGGATTCTGTGCAAGCGAGCCCGGCCGAAGGTTGTCCCGAGCCGCCGCCCCCTGAACGACCTTCAGAACCCTAGCTACCTGTAGTTCTCTTCTCCATCGAATACAACTCCAGTATACCTGTGCGATAGCTCCCCGAGCGTAGCCCCTTACAGTTGTTCCGACTTCCGATCGCGCCGCTTTCCTGCACCTCCTGTGCTACTATCCCTCCATGTGTGGCGGAAAACCCTGCGTGGCGGCATGCTGGTCACACTCTCCACCACAACAAAGTCAACCACAGCCGAGAGGCCTAGAGAATCTCGGGATAGGCAGCTTGACTATAGCGCTTTCTCTACGTTACGTATTGTTAGCAACAAACTACTGCGTGGCTAGCAATACCACAATTCGCTGCCGGCATCGACGAAAGCCCCGCCTCGGTCGGCTTCGGTAGTACTGGAGGGTTTGCGCATATATCTCAGAGTCCATAAGGCTATATAAACATGTACAAAGAGTCTATCCCGAGCGAAGCACTATGGTATCTAACGTTATGGCGCTGTGGTGCAGGTTCTATTGCAGGATCAACGACTTAAGGCGCGAGCTGCAGGTCGTATGAAAGTTCCGCAAGCATATTAGCGGTAATCTATTACCGCTGATGTAAGATCATTGTCCTGTCAGCGTAGCTCAAGCAGAGCCGCATAGCTAGCGGCATGACTCGCCTGAACTTGAATGCTTACACAACACCGCACTACTCTATACATGCCTGGCCTTAGCACAAATGCAAATTTTAGTACTGTAGACAGACTTGCTATCAGTCAGTTCGATCTACAGACTGAAAACCTAAATAGGAAATCCCGGACGGAAACTAGCCTTATTAGGTTTTCAGTCTGTAGATTGAACTGACTGATAGCAAGTCTGACTGTAGAGCATATATATGAGTTGCAGCGACAGGAAGTGTCTTGCTGGCAGCATCTATCTCGACGATCGTGGTAGTACCATAGTCACGAACGGACAACCAGCGAGGATGCCCCCTGCAGCTCGCTCGAATGCTAAAAATAGCCCTCTGTCCGTAGATGCTTCTAGAAGAGCGCCGCACTTGTACTGCTTTGAAAATAGCTTGGAATACAGTACAGCGCGGCTACGACTTCAACATCGCGCGAGCCGCCTCCACAGTTGGAAAGGCTGCATTGCAGCGGAACGGAACGAAGCAAGAGGTTGTGGAGGATCAGGTCGTGGAGGATCAGGTCGTGGAGCGCGGTTACGGTAGTTAGAGCAGCGTCGATCAGGGCAGACGCGGGAAGGCATGGCTGCCAGTCCGTTCTATCGATAGCGCGCTGTCCCGCCCGCGCTCTACCTAGCGAAAGGTGTCCGTCGTGCAGTTGTTGTGAACGGTAAAAGCGTGTTCTTCATTATTTTCTTATCGACAAGCATAGAGTGCTATTCTTCTATAGCTATAAACCCTACACCACCTAGTTTCCATCCTGTGCCGCCCTTCACTAGCTTTAGCTGCCTCCCTGAATGTAAAACCCGACATTGTACCAGAGTTGTGGCCCAGCTGAAGGCCAGTGTTTCCGCTGCCTGAAAAGACGATGTGGTGCGACTTCCCAGCGCTTTCCGCAGCCTTCGTAATAGCCTGCTCTAACAACTTGTCCTGAGCGGCGGCAATTTCTCTTAACACATAGATGTCTTGACTTTTTCCAATAGCAGAGACTTCCATGTCGCAGAGGTCACGCTGGGAATGCTGAGTGGCGGGAAAGAGGTTGTCCAAGTCGTTAACCAACTCGGTGATGTCCTCAATCAGTCGTCTAAACTGCTTCTCTTGGTACAATGCCCATCTGGCCTTTTGCCGTACGCCGGACCGGTTCTGGCGCTCGATGGCTAGCTGGCGCATTTTCTCGTGGAGCTTCGCCATTGCCGGATCCAGGTCGGTTTGCGGATCGTATACTGCAAGGCTGCTGTCCTGAGGCTCTGTCCGGCCCCTGTATCTGTTCGACACGCCTTCAGCTTCCGCAAATAGTTCTACGATCTGGCCCAGCAAGGCTTCGGCGTGCTTGACGTTTGCCTCGGACCCAAAATGCCCTTGAAGCGATACCGCGTCTCGGACATCATTGTCCAGACTTAGAGACTTGCCCCACCGCGACAAGCGGAGTCTTGCGTTGTCTAGTCTAAGCTGACTTATCTGGAAGTCTTTTCCAAATGTGCGGCCGAGCTGGACGAACTCGAAGCACTCGACTGTGTTGTTGAAGAGGCCAGCAACGGCAACGACACCAACAACAAGACCGGCTGCCTCGGCCATGTCGTTCGTTGGAAACAGAGCGAGCTGGGAACGTCGGATTGTGGAAGATGGGAAGCGAATATCCGTATGCGTAGACGCTCACCGAGGTACGAGCGCAAGGTCAGTATTTGACGTTGGAGGCAGCAGCCCCAGAGCATGAGAGACAAACGCAGCGCTATACTGTACTATACATAGAATGTGCGGGCAGCTCAGCTGAAGCGCCTGCCCAGCCTCGACAGCCCAGTCGTGACGGCTAAGCCTCGCGCGCCAGAGCAGCTGCCGGTTTGCATAAGACTCTCCCTCCTACATAAACCAGATCGCCAATGTGTACGATGGCCTTACCTAGCACCAACATCACGTTCGCAGGTGACAGCAACCAGGGGCTGCAGATAGGGCACAACTCTGGCGCTATCCACCTTGCTGCACCCGGCAAGTGCCCGCCCGCTTCCGCTCTGACCAGCGCTGCGCTAACTGTGCTTTGTCTCTGCAGAACGTCCGGAGACCCCACCAAAGCCCTCGAGCTTCGTGCCCTTCCGCCGCGACCCCGACTTTGTCGACCGTGGAACGCTGCTCGACCAGATCCGCGAACGATGCTCTGCGCCAGCATCTCGCGTCGCGCTGGTGGGCCTCGGCGGGATGGGGTAAGTGCGGCGGAAGGGGCTTAGGTCGGCGCTCCCATCTAACGCAGGCACAGGAAGTCGCAGCTGGCCATCGAGCACTGCTACCGCACCGCTGAGCAGTCGCCGGACACGTGGGTGTTGTGGGCGCACGCCAGCAACACGGCGCGACTCGAGCAGAGCTTCTGGGAGATTGCCGACCAAGTCAAGGTTCGCGGGCGGAAAGACCCGCAAGCGGATGTGTTCAAGCTGGTGCACGACTGGCTGCACGACGAGCAGAACGGGCGATGGCTGTTAGTGCTGGACAACGCGGACGATGCTGCTGTTCTCTCAATTACAGACGGCAGTGCTCTCCAACAGCATCTATCGAGATACATCCCCTGGAGCAGGCATGGCTCCGTCCTGGTGACGAGCCGGTCAAAGCGCGCGGCGATGCAGGTCGTAGAGGACAGCGACATCATACCGATCGAGCCGATGCACGATGCAGCTGCACGCGCTCTGCTCTGCAAGAAGCTAAGAGACGTAGACGAGGAAGATGACAGCATCGCTAAGCTGGCGACGACGCTTGACCACATGCCGCTTGCTCTCGTGCAGGCGGCGGCCTACATCCGAGAACGAGCGCCGCGATGCTCCGTACGGCAGTACCTCGAGGAGTACCGACAGAGCGACAGCAGAAAGACAAGCCTGCTAAACCGGGAGGCGGGCCACCTTCGGCGAGATGCAGCAGCCAGCAACTCGGTCCTCATAACGTGGCAGATCTCGTTTGACCACATACGGAGCACAAGACAGTCGGCAGCAGGGCTGCTGTCGCTGATGAGCTTCTTCGACCGACAGGGGATCCAGGAAGCTGTGCTCCGCGGCCAGAGCGGCACAGCAGACGACAGATTTGAGGAGGATGTGCTGGCCCTGCGAGACTACTCGTTTGTCACTATCACTAGAGACGCGAAGACGTTTGAGATGCACAGCCTGGTGCAGCTAGCGACGCGCACGTGGCTAGAGGGCGAAGGGCAGCTCGACCGGTGGAGAGCGCAGTTTATCTCGAACCTGTGCGCAGAGCTACCGACCGGAGAACACAAGAACTGGGAGAAGTGCCAGGCGCTGTTTCCACACGCACAGGCGGCATTAGCACAGCGACCGAAGGACAGAGAGTCACTGAAGGAGTGGGCGCTGTTGCTGTACAAGGCGGCGTGGTACGCGTGGCAACGAGGGAGAGCAGGCGAGGCAGAGGAGATGGCGATGATGTCAACGGAGGTTAGGAGTGAAGTGCTTGGGGAAGACAATGTGGAGACGCTGAGCAGCATGGGGATGGTAGGGCAAGCTAGAGAGCTTGGGGGCAAGTATGAAGAGGCGGAGGCGATAAACTGGCAGACGCTGGCGCGGAAGGAGAAGGTGCTCGGGCATGAGCATCCAGACACGCTGACGAGCATGAACAACTTGGCGTTGGTGCTCAACAGGCAGGGCAAGTACGAAGAGGCGGAGGTGATGAACCGGCAGGAGCTAGAATGCACGAAGAAGGTGCTTGGGGCTGAGCATCCCTCTACGCTGACGAGCATGAGCAACTTGGCGTTGGTGCTCAACAGGCAGGGCAAGTACGAAGAGGCCGAGGCGATGAACCGGCAGACGCTGGCGCGGCGTGAGAAAGTGCTCGGGCATGAGCATCCAGATACGCTAGGGAACATGAACAACTTGGCGTCGGTGCTGGACAGCCAGGGCAAGTACGAAGAGGCAGAGGCGATGCACAGACAGACGCTGGCGCGCAGTGAGAAGGTACTCGGACATGAGCATCCGCACACGCTGACGAGCATGAACAACTTGGCGGGAGTGCTGGACAGCCAGGGCAAGTACGAAGAGGCGGAGGCGATGCACAGACAGACGCTGGCGCGGAGTGAGAAGGTGCTCGGGCATGAGCATCCACACACGCTGACGAGCATGAACAACTTGGCGTCGGTGCTGGACAGCCAGGGCAAGTACGAAGAGGCGGAGGCGATGCACAGGCAGGAGCTGGCGCTTTGCAAGAAGGTGCTTGGGCATGAGCATCCAGACACGCTGATGAGCATGAGCAACTTGGCGGAAGTGCTTAACAGGCAGGGCAAGTACGAAGAGGCCGAGGCGATGAACTGGCAGACGCTGGCGCGGCGTGAGAAGGTGCTCGGGCATGAGCATCCAGACATGCTGATGAGCATGAGCAACTTGGCGAACGTACTTAACAGCCAGGGCAAGTACGAAGAGGCCGAGGCGATGAACTGGCAGACACTGGCGCGGAAGGAGAAGGTGCTCGGGCATGAGCATCCAGACACGCTGACGAGCATGAGCAACCTAGCGTTAGTGCTGGACAGCCAGGGCAAGTACGAAGAGGCCGAGGCGATGCACAGACAGACGCTGGCATGGAGGGAGAAGGTGCTGGGGCATGAGCATCCACACACGCTGATGAGCATAAACAACTTGGCGGAAGTGCTCAACAGGCAGGGCAAGTACGAAGAGGCGGAGGCGATGCACAGACATACGCTGGCGCGGAGTGAGAAGGTGCTGGGGCCTGAGCATCCACACACGCTGATGAGCATAAACAACTTGGCGGAAGTGCTCAACAGGCAGGGCAAGCACGAAGAGGCGGAGGCGATGCACAGACATACGCTGGCGCGGAGTGAGAAGGTGCTGGGGCCTGAGCATCCCTCGACGCTGATGAGCATATACTGTCTTGCCCACCTCCTCACACATCGGTGTCGCTACAACGAATCCCTTGCTCTGTACGAGAGAGCATGCGCTGGGTACCAAGCTGTACTTGGGAAGGACCACCCGACCACGCGTGCGTGCCACCAACATTACGCTGACGCGCTCGCATCGCATAATCATCACCAGCTTGCTGTTTTTCCTACAATAGCGGATAGCAGCGCACATGCATCCACAGGCAAAGAGTCAAAGCTGCTGCGCGGACTAGCAAAAATAGGCATCAGAAGCTCAAAGTCGTCAGCGAGATGAGCACGAAAGGTCCTGTATATCTGTACCAATTGATTACCCTAAGTTAATTTCGACGTTGTTACAGGACTGTATATAAGCCTCTACCTGTAATGTTACTACCAATAATTATCTGTTCCTAAAACAGGCGTGCGTAGAGTTGTCAGATTAAAATGCTAAAAATGAGCTTAGGAGAAGTTTATGATTGCGATGATCGATTATGTCTTGATCATTGTTGTTTTTCGTTGGTCTGTTCTCTCTCCTTTTTGAACATAAACCTGATACGTCGGTGATACCTAGGTGATACATAGGTGATACCGTCCACGATGCAGTATCGCTTACTTCATCTGACAAGAGTCTAGTGTAGCGTTTGAGCATATATTCAAGCAAGCGAGTCATGCATAGCCTTAGCCGCTAGCCGGGTGGTCTCTATCTGAGTCAAGCGGGACACGGGTCTGAGATTAGCGCGGATAGAATACCGCTAAGCCACTTGCGGCATTTCTGTACGACCTGTGGGGAGCGCGCCTTAGTTGTCGATCCTGCTCTATATAGCGATAGACTTGCACAACAGCGCCACAACCTAGGATGCCGCAGTACTTCGCTCGGAATACACTCTTTACATGTCTTTTTATAGCTTGACAGACTCTCAGATACATGCATACAACCTGTGGCGCATCCGAGGTTGTCCGGGGCAGGGCTGTCGCGCATGGCAGCAGCGTATTGTAGTATTGCTAGCCAAGCAGGAATTTGTGGGCGACGAGATGGGGTGCGGCAAAGGTTTCAAGATCAAGGTCTCTATCCCGAGATTCTCTACGTCTCTCCACTGCGGTTGGCTTTGTTGTGGTGGGGAGCACCGTCGGCATGTCGCCACGCAGGGTTTTCCGCCACACATGGAGGGATAGTACTCGTCAGGAACTAAGTTACGATAAACACACACACACACACACACACACGTACACACACGTACACACACGTGCGCGCGCATCGACAACCTCCACACGCGTCTTGGCACTATCTCCCTTACGCGATGGTGTCATTTTTGTATCCATGTAGCTTAGATTTTAGATTGGACCTGAGCTAGGAGCATTCAAAGGTACTGCAACGGAACACTATCTCCTGTCACGCCTAGTACCTCTCAAGGCTTCAATTCATTGACCTGTGGCAGCCTTTACCCGCCTAGTCTAGTCTTCTCCATATCAAGGCCTTCGTACCATCCACGAACGCACCAGCAAACCCTCTACGAATACGCCGACGCACGTCAGGAGAACAATACCTACATTGCCTTGGTCCCTTACTATGCGTGCAATCGTATAGACCCACAAGGCTCATCCGAGACTACGTACATCACACGCCGTTTCGAGTCGACAGGCATATATTCATATAGAGTGATCCACTCGCCCTCTGGCGGATCTTCTGGCCCTTCCTCAATTGTTTCTAATTGAGGCGAATACGCTTTGGTCTTCTGAGGCGGGGACAGAGTCTCGCCAAGATCGATTAGGGGCTGGACATGGTGGCGGGGTAAAAAAAGAGTGACACCGAGTTCGCTGGTCTTCATGGTCGTGAGCTGAATACGATGTCGAGACATCAGACGCGCGAGCTCGCGGACTCGTGGATACAAGGTGTTGCCTGCAGCTCTAAACCGCAGATTATCTTCGTCTTCGCAATGGTTGAGGATGATCCTTACTATTTGCTGATTGGGGACTGCAAATCGGATAGAAAGATGGTCATGGCGCGTGTAGCCTGGATAGCTGGGGTACATGCTCGAAGTGACCAATCTTCCAGTGGTACCTTCTCTGGGCCATATATGCGCACGTGTGCCTACATGAATGGTGTACACGAAACAGCTTCTGGAGCCGGGAGCAGGAGCAGGATACCGTGCCACATTAGACAACGTAAACACGGCAACATGTCGCAAAGGACAGGATTCGCGAATCAAGAAATGCGGAATCCTGTTCGATTGGACTATGGAGGACTTGAAGTGATAAAAGATTCGCTGGCGGTGGCAATCTCTCCAACAGCACCATCATCATTACACATATACTCAGCAGAACTTGCCCGCCTAAACCTTTGCGCTGTCTAATATGCTGGTATATACGTGGTTCTTTTTGAGCTTGTGCTCCGCCCAAATTATCCCCTTTGATCAAATGTTGCCGATTCTTACGAGCCCGGTGGTCCATGCGAAGCTGGGAAGAGCTTCACTACCAGTAGGCCCCGTACGCGGAAAAGTCTGGTAGATTTCTCACCAAAAAATAGGCTCAGCAATTTCCGCAACTCAAGCTGCCAAGCCACATTGAGTTTCCAGAACGACACGTTCTTGCCACTGTCTGTACTTGCGAACCCAATGAATTGTCCAGGCGACCAGATAGCAAAACTTCGAATACCGGAAAGTGCACCCAATGGCCCCGCTGCACTCGAATGGTACGTTAAATTAGCAGCACTACGAGCTAAATCTCATTCTTACAGGCAATGCTCCGGTGCGAACGGCGTAGCTGTGGATCTCATGGTTATTTCTGGAGGGTTTGGAGATTGGGAGCGTTTCGCAGAGGACAGCGAGGCTGTACGCATTGCGGTACAGTGTCGCTCAAATACTACGGACCAATCGCGTACCAACGGCACATGTAAATAAACCCGCATAGGTCAAATTTCATACTGGTGCACTGCCACGTCTTTAAGCGCTGTATGCATGTGATATGCAAACGTGTGGCGTAGACTCGTTGAGGTTGTAACCACCCCAGATGTCAGCTACCTACCGAGAAACAAGCGCCGTAACAGCCTAATGATAGTAACACATCTGTATTCTGAATTTGGTCACCCTTGACAGCATCAGAATCAATCCATGGTCATCACAAAAGGTTCCTCAGCCTGCAAGGCCTCAGCAGGCTGTACTATGCTCTGCCCACCTCGGTAAAACCTCATCTGCTTTGCTACTTGCCACTCGATCCCACAATGGAGAATGAGATTCGAGCCCAAGCAGCTGCTCGCTAGTATTGGTGGGAATGGCAGCGGTTCCTGGTCTGTTGCTCTACCCATCTCGCGTTCAAGAACTGACTGATCGTTGAAGTTGTTCACCCGGCAACAAACCGTACATGCGCCGCAAAACTGGCAACAAACTTCGCCAGAGGTGCGACGTCAGATCGTGAATCGGGTCAATGCAGCGTTGAAGTACGAGAAGATTTCTGAGGCGCCGGAGGAAGTTATTGAATGGCGTATGGAGACACTCTTGAATAGTCGATGCAGGGTAAGTTACACGAAGCTGTACTCAAAACGACGCGAATGCCAAGCGTGAGAAGGGTAAAGGGCAGGAATAGATTGCGACAGCAACGCGTAACATTGTACAAATCACGAAGGCACATACCAGAGGTGATCATAGGGTCACCGCTTCTTCTTACGCGATACATGAACCATAGGTTTAACGTACGTTTAGAACATTATAATCAACTATTGTATTGCGTTTATCTATCTATAGAAGCGCGAGGGCGAACATGGACCACACACTAAACCTCATTGTCGTACCCGTGGAACTAAAGATGGGCGGAGCTATGGCTACCGAGCTGATACTGGAGTTTGCGGACAACGTACTAGTAGGTGTTAGATACGTGTTTGCTTTGCTTGTTGTTAGATGAACTGAGGGCAGCTCGCATACACCGTTAGTCGGCGTTGCTGTGGCTTCAACGCTCGCTAAGGCGTTGTGGAGGAATTGAGCATGCGCTCCGTGTGGATTCAGACTGAACACCATCCCCGCCTGACAATGAGAGCGCTTTGCTGTTTGAGCGCAAAAGAACCATTTCGCTTCCTGACTCGTAACCTCGATCTCGACGATGAATTTTCCGCTCACGTTAGCCGGATTGTACTGTCGAAATCCAGTGTCGAATTTCTGGCTGCTGTGACATGGATTCCAAAGCTCACTCTCAGTCAATGTATGGTTCAGTCCTAGGAAATTGAAAGCGATGATTGAACCAGCAGAAGCGTTCAACGATGACGGCGAGAAGACAAGTTCCCCTGCTTCACCGACAGTGACAGTAGTTGTAGGTCGAGACCCAGTTGCAGTGCCCGTAGATTGTGGAATGTGTGTCGCGTTCCAGCCCCGAAGCGAAGTAGTGTTCCAAGGCCCATGTAATGTAAGAGAGCTAGCTAACGCCGTTGCATGCGATGCGCGGGACTCGGCGGCTAAGTCCCGCTTCGAGATCGCCTGCAAGGAGGACGGGGTAACGCACGTTGTGGAAGCCAGCACAATGGTGCTAAAATACGCTAGTAGAAAGTGAAGCTTAGCCATCATCTCTGCACGCATTTCGGACGGCCTAAGTCTCTTCTTAAGTAGCGCACCCTTGCGTGCTCAAATGCGGGTGTCTGGAAACAGTGTGACTGGAAAGCGGGTTTCGAGTCAAGGAGGGACTACGATACAGTTTTCCTGCGCCTGTATTACCAAATAACCCCATTCGGTTACTGGCTTCTGTATCTTGGTTGCTGCACAACGAGAAACATTCTGAAACAGGATTTCTATAAAACCCACCTGTGTGCCGGCTAGTGATGCAGCAGAAACCATTACCTAACGTTGAGCAGGTCTCAGTATCTACTATTATACACATCACGATACCCAAAACACTTTACACCATGGACACGCAGATCGCCTACCCTCCTTCTTCATCTCGCGGAGGCGATATTCATACAACGAATAACGCCAAATCATCTAAGAATGAGAAAGTGAAGGCCATAGCCAAGGCCAAGGAACCAACAGTAGAAAACGTGCCCAGTGACATCGAGGGGAAAGGAAAGGGCAAGGCTACTCAAAAAGAGGTCGAGGCCACCGAAGACCATAATGGCGATGTTCAATCAGTCTCGCGCGGTGACAGTGTCTCTTCTCGTTCTCGGGATAAGCAGGAGGAGGAAGATCCTTTTGCAAGCTCGGGAGATTCTGAATCTGAAGCTGATCCTGATGAGAATGAATCATCGAGGCAGGCCAGGAAGGAATCAAAACGGAGATGGAAGGCTGAGCTCTATAAAGACCCCGATGCGAAAAGAGAGCATAGAGCAAAGACAAAAGCACGCAGAGCGAAGAAGGATCGACAAACGAAGCTAAATATCGAAAACGAAGGGATTCGCGGCTACACTGAGGCACGCAAAGCTAGAGCACCGCCGTCTAAGCGTCCGGCAGAAGTTGAGAAGATCTGGCAAGGACTGTATCCTACCGTAAAATCCTGGTGGCGAGAAACGGCTGGTACCAAAATCCCTAAAAGCCATCAGACCCAAATTGATACGGCTGACAGAAAGATCATCAAGTACATTGACAGCGTCATATCAACACCTGGACAGAAGAAAGCCGCTGAGCTTTTCATGGCTCAGTGGCCTCAGAAGAAAGAACGTGAGAGGCGAGCTTTTGTCGAACGGAATCCTCAGGCTTCAAATGAGACTATCGAAAACGAGTTGGTGGAGATTGAGAGCAGGTTTCGAGATGAGGTCGGACTGGAGAACCGCAAGAAGAATGGGAAAGATACCAGACAAGAGATGATCAACAAGTACGAATTTCCTGCACAGCGACTCTATAACTCCATCTCTGAGCTCGGCAAGCACCTCTCGCAGATCAATGAATTGCCGTCGCAGAAGCACTTAGAAGAGAAGCGCATTGAGGCTTTGAAGCAGATGAAGTCGGCCAAAGGGCGAAAGCAACAGTTGCAATTTGAACAAGAGGCACTCCAGCTTGAAGAGGACATGCAATTAAACGAGCACCAGATTGAAGAGTTTCTTCGTGGGGTGTTAATCTTCATGGAGGAATTGTCGAACGACATAGGCATTTCCCCATCGTTTGTCACGTCTCCTACAGCAATGACGACATTCAACAACTTTCTCGAATCCTCGGATCAACACAAAGAGCTATATCAGAAGCTGAGAGCCCAAATCGAGCGACCAACATTGGAGCAGATCAACGCATGGGAACTAGCTTCCCGCCCTGTATACGATCTTGTTGAAATCGTGCGCGATGATTCCGTTCTATCGGAGGAACACGCAGAAGTAGTGGACAAGCACTTGACCACGATAAAGAGACATAACAGGACTTTGCAGAACTCTAACCAAGCAAATGGCATTGGTATAGACGTCAACTGTGTGCCCATGGCGATATTAGTGGAGATGGTGGACCAGTGGAAGAAGGGGAATCCTGACCAGGTCCAAGAGAATCTCGAGAGGTTGATGGAGCAACTTAGAAGTGAAGAGCCAGCTAAAGCCACTTTGACAGCACTCGAGACAAACGAAGCACCGGACGATACCCCGAATCCTGATCCTGCTCCTGCTCCTGCTCCTACCTCAAGAACTCAAACTCAGTTTCCTATACAGGAATCTTCTCCTGGCCAGTTGACAGATGAGAATCTACTCGATCTGGACATAGATTCGATGTCACTAGATAACGACCGCGTTGAGCCTTTCGCATACGGGAACGGTGAGACGGAATACGGACCGTTGGTAGCAACTCGCGCTTCGATTTCCGACAACCCCAGATTCCATCGCTTTATCATTGACGCTGGTATAGGAGAAGAGAAATGGGAATACTTCAGGGTAATCAAGGGAACTGACCTAGGTCCAGGAGGTGCTGAGAGTATGCCACAAGATAAGGAGATCAGTTTCAACATAAAGGAAAGGAAGAAAGGCCTTAAGAATAACCCATTGATAGGGATCGGTCCCTGTGTTGTCATGCCACGCGCGGAAGGCTATGTTAGCCGCGCCGGCGCAAAGCAGCGTCAGCCTGATACCTACGTCCGCGTTGCGTATAAGGGGATTACACAGGCTGATTGGCTAAGCAAAACCGAGTTCATCCAACTCGCTGGGAAAAAGTATGCAGAAAAGCACTTAGCGATCATGATCCCAGCCTACTACAAACGACAGCAGTACTTCGAGGCGTGCAAGGCACAAAGAAGGCATCCTAAGACAAAGCTCCCTTTGACTTCGGAGGACTTTGAAAGCCACCCATGGCTGTTTCCAGATGATGAGAGGATGATCAAGCGGCCCGAAGAGAATGATCCTATGGAGGTTGACGACGACGACGAATCTGTGATTGAAAATGTCAAGGTCAACGTAGGAGATATGCCAGATGTAGAGTCGCGTGATCCATTTAAGAAGAAGAGAGCTGTTCTTCCACTGAGCGGCTCAGCAGGTTCAGAATACTAGTGCTACGTAACCTTGGAATAATCTCTTGACTACAAATTTTAATGTATAATAGTACCTAGATAGTTAGTCAATGGGTTTTTCGTTAGTACAATACTACCACCGTACATATCCCAACGGGAACGCCTGCCAAAGCACTATGCACCTCCTCAAGGCGCGCTACAGTTCTGCCTGATACGGCCTAGCTCACCACGGAGAGGAAGCTCTACCTGGTATAACTGATGCTGAGCATGAGTGGATGATTGGCAAGGAAAGACCATGTTTAGGGAATCTTAGGCGCGAGTGGCGCTTCTCCGTGCGTGTGTGTTGCAGATCTTAGTACAAGAGGCGGGTTCGTTTCCGAATGACATGTAGATGTGACAGCATCGTCACACATCTCAACAATATCTAACAGGCCATGGTAGCCAATAGCAAACTGAGAGCAATGGCGGTCACGCCTTCAGCGGCTGGATCTAGCTAGTCTAGCGCAAGAGTGGGACGCTGGGATAAAAGTAAGACGCCGGTTGCGGGCGGCAGTCGGCCGCTGGGCTGAAGAGTGTTGGAATGCCGGGATGCAGTTTCTAGAAAGGTCCGTAACTTCTGAAGTCGCGTTGAGAACTGTTAACAACGCTGTGCGAGCTTTAGTTTTGCCTGCCTGTTCTTGTTTCTGTCGTAATCTTGTGCATGTGTCAAGTGCTGTTTGATAAGACATAGTATGGTGAATGAACGCTGTTCTATAATAGAGCTAGGCATAGATGGGCGAGTTCACCTCTAGCTGACAGCAGACCCGAAGCAATACAGGATAGTCCTTCAATAGGCAAGGTTCTAAAGGCAGAACAAAGGACCTAGGGTTTAGGCGCACGGATCCACAATGTGATAGTAGACAGGGGCATGAGACGTGGCTATATTATTGGCAAGAACGCCATTATGCAACAATCTGTCAAGCATGCCTGCCACTGGTACCCATGCAGGCAGTGATCTAATTGGACTGGACTAGCACTGGACTGGATTTGGATGGACTGGATTTGGCTGGACTGGATCCGGAGTTTGAGAAATTTGGACTGGACTGGATCGAGAGGTCTGGAGGCTCCTGGAGCGCCAATGGACCATGCCTAATTAGGAAGCAACTTAACCTAATAAGGAAGAGTGAGTCACATCTTCGGCGTTCTTGCTTCAGGTACGCTTTACCCCAGAAGCGCGTTCTCAGAAGGAGTTCATCTAGTCCAATGACTACCTAATAGCATTCAACAATGAATCTGGCAGGCCAGCGGGACCTACGACTGCTAATATGTTAAAAATGGTATGAACCCACTCAGCGGCGGCAGACATCCTAAAATGGCCGCATCAACAATTACTCAGTTCTTCGCTCGCTCTTCCTCTAAGTCTTCCGAGTCTGATCATATTATTCTTGCCCCTGAATCTATTAACCCCCGTCGCGACCCAGAAGCTCTGATTCAGCCAGATGAGTTTAAGCTCCAGGGGGAGCAGTATATCCGCTGTGCGGTGCTAGCGAAGGGCCCTAAAGCAACAAAGAAGCGAACGTCGGTGATCTGGATATACGGTGAAGATCTACAGGCCAAAAAAGATGGGAGACGTGTATGGTATTGCTACCTCTGTGAAAAACAGCGCCGTCAGCAAGAGCTTCCAGCAGTGTCGAATGGCAATTCTACAGCGCTCGACCACCTCGACTCGACACATAAGATCGATAAGGTTACCGGCGAAAGTAAATCCTTCCGAGGAGACTCGGTGGATACGAGCCAGCCGTCGATATCCGACTACCAGGACATGAAGTCAATCGTCTTCGCCCGCCGCTTAGATCGGTTTAAGGAACTCCTAATCCGCTGGCTGGTCTGCTGCCATATCGCTTTCTTCCAGATTGAAAATGGCTGGATCTCATAGTAGGATAAGCGCCTGCTTAGTCTGAAATTAGCTGACCGGTATAGACTTCGCGCCTGATTATCTTTTCGATGCATTATACTCTGCTCCGTGCAAAGCGGCCATCGCTACTTATACGATGCTTGAGGACATCCAGCGTAAGTTTGTGTCAGCAGTGCTCCAAGAGTTCAAAGATGTCTTCAAGACGTACGTCAACGACACGTTATCTACAAGGGAGCTTCACTGTCAAACCCTGAGGGCAAATCATACCCACCTAGCAGATCTTAAGAGCCATCGGACGTGCTTCTCCTGCTTCCTGCGCATGCCAGAGAAGGTGCTTACATGCGGCCATGCCTTATGCGATACATGTATTCGCATTTTTGGAGCTCGCTCCCGCTCCGAGAGAAACACCTTTGAGCTCACAGAATGCATTCTATGTGGAGTCAATTACAAGAGTTGTATATTTCGTTTTGTACCTCCAACAGCGGGCATACGCACGCTGAGTATAGATGGAGGCGGCGTTAGAGGCGTGATTCCCCTTGTCTTCCTTCAGCATCTCGACCGCACACTTGCGCCGCTAGGCTGCGCGATCAAGGATCACTTCGATTTCGTATGCGGCACCTCAGCTGGTAAGAATATCAAGTTACTTGGTCGATGTAACTGACTATTGCAGGCGGTCTTGTTGCTATAGGCATGTTCTTGTTACAATGGGGCGCAACGGAGTCCATAGAGCGGTACGAGCAAGTGGCTGCAAAGACATTCGGCAGACGAAAAGCCTTAATATCAAGGACTCTTCAACTTATTGTTGCATATGTTGAGGACGGCCAGTACAGTCTCGCTGCTGTTCAGGAAGCGTTTAGGAAGACGTTCAACTCTCCTTTGCAGATGTTCAACCCGCTGCGGAACGACACCAAGGTTGCTGTCACCACTACTGCGGTTGATGATTCGCTTCCATGGTTATTCACTAACTACAATGGGGGAAAACGGCCTAAAGATGTTGGTAAGTGTATGGCCTCATCGTAGCAAGTCTTTATTCACCGTCAATAGGGTACGATGTCGTTCGCGCTGAGAAAGCGCAAAACGATATTACTGTCAGTGATGCGTAAGTTGACACGATTGCCTCTTTCTTTATCACCTGTCAGGAACTAACAGGCCTAGGGCATGTTGCACATCGGCCGCGCCTTGGTTTTTCAAACCGCAAGCGGTAGGCAGCCTAGGCACCTACCAAGATGGGGGTTTACAACATAACAACCCAGCCAGCATAGCTCAGTGGGAAACTCGTTTCCTTTGGCCCCGCAAAGAAAGTCCTGATTTCGCTCTTTCACTTGGTACCGGGTTTGCGGCGGAGTCGGCGAGCTTAGGACTTGCTATCCCGCGTTTCTATACCCGCTTGTTCAAAAGCTTTATGCGAAATCTGAACGGCGAAGACGCATGGATACGCTTCTACAATTCTTTAGATCCGAGGGTACGTCCTAGGTACCACCGGCTAAACGTAAAGTTCACCGGCCCCGAGCCTAGCTTAGACGATGCAAAGCAGATACCCGGTCTCAAGGCGGTAGCCCTACGAAAGATCGATGAGGATAAGATCACTTTAACGTCAGTGGTGGACTCAATGCTAGCTTCCATGTTCTACTTTGAGTTGGACGCTATGCCCATCCTTGACGGAGATGGTTACCTTTGCTTGGGCTACATCCACTGTCGCCTTGATCTCCCAGTCGAAGGTCTCCGCTACTTGTACAATCAGCTACTAGAAACCTCTTCGTGGTTTCTTATTTAGGGTATTCCTATTCTATGTGTTCAGTTCATACCCAAGGGACTCCCACCATTCAAAAGACGAGTTAACTTTCGCGTGGAAAGTATGGACGAGGTAATTGCATTTTCTCTAGGAGGTATCACCAGTACAACAAGACCTCTAAGTGGCTTCCCGACTAGTTTAAGGAAATTAATCGAAGACCAAAGTCTTGTAAAGCCTTTTGGTACCCTCGATCATGTAGTATCGGAAAAGCCACTACCTGCCACTCCTGCGAAACGTCTCAGCGCCATTCAGAACTCTGGACGCGCTCATGACTCAAAAAGGTCCCGCGTCAGGACAGGCTTCTTCTGATTAGCTATGTAGTATTCGAGATAAAGACTAGTATCAATTCATAAATAGATTAGTTGTTGCAGTGCCACAGTCATGGCGGCGCGTAACAGATATCATTTACTGGCCGCAACATATCGGAGGCACATTGAGATCATTTATTTATACTCTGTGCTCTTTCTCGTCTCTTTCTTACCCTTCTTCATTCTGTCAGCACCAGAGTTTTCCAAAATGTCCCAGCAGTGTGATCAGATGGTTCCCAAAAAGCGGCACAACAGCTTAAAGGTAAGCATCGTTTGATTGAAAGGTGGCAACTATTGCTAACGGGGTGTAGCTCCAAGGTCGTGTCAAGAAGAGGGCGACACCGTGCATGTCATACCGAGTGCTTGAACTAAGGTGTGTCCCTAACGTCCGTCCCTACGTAGCGGGACACCCTGTGTGGCGGGACGCCACAGACACTCCCCAACATAACAAACTCAACAACGGATCATAAGAGTATATATTCTCGGAATAGCAGCCTTAAGCTATAAAGAGTATTATCTCCTTAATGTCTTTTAGAAATAGGTTCGGCTTGTCGTGCAATACGACAATTTGGTATAAGCATCACGCGACCGCCTCGCTTTAGCTAGCAGTAGGTGCGTCGAAAGCTCATGCATCTTGTCGAAAGTCCGTCAACTTACAGCTTGTTGTATCATCATCCTATCCCGAGCACGGCGCTTAAGCTCGAGAGGCTGTTGTGCTTCTGTGCTAGTTCCAAGTCCGCCTGCTTGAAGTGCCAGATAAAGAAGACGGCTGGCGTGATTTGTCCCCCAAAAATCGCAGCTCCACGCTTCACAGCGCAATTCTACCACAACATCGAGTGTAATTTTTGGTTTTAAAGCTTTCCTCATATTAGTTGCTCTCTGAACTATTCTCTGTATTAAGGTTGAGTATTCTGACCGTAAGGCTGACTAGTTAATTAGAGTTGAAGTCCGCATTTACTCGGAATAAGTCATTAATTTCTACACGCGATTTAATCACAACGCCGGATAATTTTAGCATTTTTGAACATTAGGAAAGATTCTGCAAGATCTAAAGCTTTATGTAAGGTCGACCGAAAAAATTCGCTAATGTGGGTGATGAGTTATATGAGATTGAAGATGTCTCGTCGGAATTGGGGGGACAAATCTCAAAAACGGGGGGACAAATCACGCCAGCCATATCCAACACCGCCACCGTTAGCGGAACGATGGCCGACCCGCACTGGCCACAGAGTTGCCCTGAAGGAGTTGTATTCTTGGGCGCAGATCATGTACCTAGCGAGAATCATTACAAGGACCCTTAAGAAGGACTTTGTACAGCCACAATGGGTATGCGCTAATAATGCTTCAACAACAGTACTGCTAGTCTGACTGTCAATGCTATGGGCTTCAAGAACTCCTTGAGTGGGTGGGAAATGTGGGTATTCTATAGGATCCATTACGAAGCTACGGCAAAGTTCCTTCGCCAACTGCAACGTACCGCGTAGTAGCCGTGAAGTGCAAATCTACCACCAACATATTACCGTAGATGACGCGAAATGCAACTGTTCGGAACGATTACCGTCTCGTCTTCTATTGTGATGAGCTGTTACTTGACGTGTTTTCGTAATCCGAGTCATTCCGTGCCACTCTCTTCGCCTCCCTCTCCTCTTCCTCAACATACTTCGCTTCATCAGCAGAAACCATCACATCTGGCGGTGTTATTGATCGTTTGCGTTTTTTAACTCCTGCAGGAATGGAATGCCGAACAAGTGATCCTTCCCGGCACTTTTTGTCTTCCGCTGCAGAAAGGTAGTCACAAAGCTCACGAGTAGACACTATGATCTCCCTCTTTCCCTCCTCAACCACATCCTTTGTAAGTTCCTCGCATGCGAAGTCGGCCAGTTGAAGCCGTAGACCTGAGTGAGTAGTAGGGTTTCCTTGTTCGTCACGGAATGCCTGTAATGAGACGTCAGGGGGAGGAACCAGCTTCTACCCGGGATAAGACATACCTCGTCTGCAACTTCATCAACCACTCGTAGTTCAACCCCATCGTCGGTGTGGTGGAGTTGAGACCGCCATACCGACAAGGTCGCCTCACGCGACTCCTTCCTGCCATATTCGATGTCAAGGCCCACAACAACTTGCACGCTCGCATCTGAGTCCAGAAGATAGTCTTCGGCCAGCCGGCGCAGCCTCCTTTTCTTCTGCGAATATGCCACTTCGACGATGACCCCAGGGTATTGCGCGTCGTTGTGCCAAAAAGACGCGTCTGGCTCGCGTTTCGACCTCTTTCCAGAGGGATCACCTGCAACTGGAAAACGTATCTCTGTAGACCGGGCAGAACCGACCTTCTGGGCAAAAGCCGCCGCGTTGTCAGATCCTTTACGAATCGATTTCAGTTGGCTGACCACAGCATCCTCAACACGGGCAATGAACAGTTCATACACGGCTGTAGGCATACGAACGACAAGCCAGTCTCTTTCCACGTCGTAATCATACCTGTCCACCTCTCTTGTCAACCACCATGCCTGCCATGTTTTGAGCACACTCACCGTATCTTGTTTTTCACAAACCCCAGCAGCTCCTCGTCCTGTTCAAGGAGACGCTGCAACTTATCGTACTCCCCTGGAACAAGCGAAAACTCCTTCCACGGGTCTCGATTGCTGTGCTTTCCAGCTCGGATGTCGTGGAAGAGTGCGATGACTCGCGGAGCTTGCGCGAACGGCTTCTCGTCGGTCGGCGGCGGCGTTAATGGTGGCTCTGCAAAACTAGAGGGCGGTGTAATCTTCTGGGCGGTTCTCGAGGATTTCGGGTCGAAGACATAACAGTATGTCGCACGGCATCGCGGCGTCGCACAAGAGCTGTTGCGACAACTGCTTCGCGGTTTAGGAGTCCTGACGCTTTGGCCACTTCGGTTGACTCAGCAACAGTGCCAAGGCACGTAACGATGACTAGTGCTGAGCCTGATGGCACAATAACGCCAGGGCCAGCAGTGACCGTTCCTGCACCTTGGTGGAGCCCAATCTAGCTCCCGGCATGGGATGGTTTTAGTTCTGGGATGTACGTAGCCGAGCATTCACGTGGATGTGAGCCAGAGACTGTTCAAACTACTATGACCCCACTATCGTGCCAAGAGCGGCTCAGTCGAGTCACTCTTGGCACATCGCCCGGCTACGGCAGGGCTGTGTTATAAGTTTTTGACACCTATTGCATTTGTCTGCATCGCAACCCTACAACCTCTTTCTTCTAACTTACACACGGAAATCTCCAACGCCTCCAGGCAACCCTGTAGCCAGTGCGGGTCGGCCACCTCCTGCTAGCGGTGGCAAGGCACGACCTGTGCTTGACTGAACACTACACCTAGCCACTCTGGATAGGATGCCATGAGTACTTCCATGTTAGATAGCTGTGCGAAACCTACAGAATACTATTGGGCTAGTTTCTGTCTAGTGAACGTGCTGAAATTACAAACATCATACGATGTCAACGACCGAGAGCAGTTGACTAAACGATCATGCTTCACCAAAAGCAACGCATATTCATGGGGTCATAAAGGTGCAGCAGAAGACCCCTGTAGGAGCAAGGAGAGAGTGAATATTTACGAGAAATAACGTTGGCGACAATGGAGTGCCATGGCAGTGGTCGGCGATGCGAGGTGGAGTGGTACACGTGTAGGATGCTGAAACTGGCGCTGATATACAGAGGTTCGTGGCGCAGCAGACGTAGCGAGACTGATTGGTCGGGTGCTTAACCGGCTGGATCAAGTTTTGCCACTTTCACCACCATTCGCTACGTCATCTTTCCGCAATAATTCGTCATAAGAAGCTGTGAGCGCTGCACCCTCTAGCCTGCTGCCTACAATAATACACTGTGCGTAATATCATCGTCACAGCCCCGTCTCTCACGTACCAGCTTCCACTTGCGCCCCGGTATCTTCTCCTATTGAACGATTACGCGAGCTCCGCCCAGCCGACTCAAGCCACCTCTAGAGGTGCTTGCCATCAATGGAGAGCAGCAGCGGCCCTGGCGCCAGAGTAGCTATCCCTCGGCTCAGGCGGCCTGACCAGCAGACTGCCCCTCCGAAGCCTCCCCGTATTCGTTCCGAGAGAGTGGATAAGGCAGTAAGTACCATACTTGCACGAATCAGCATCATAACGCTGATCAGAGGTGTAGTATAATAGATGCCGGAAGCGCAGTATGTATAATCTCCAAACTAATCCTTGCGTCCTGACCTACCAGTTGCTTCGTGAGGACATATTGTGCGAGCTGACACGTGCAGAAACGAAATGCTCTGGCACCAGACCGCGCTGCATCAACTGCAGGACCCAGGATTTGGAATGTCCTTACGACGTAAAGCGCAGGGATCGCTTGAGAGAGTTTGTTGATCTAATCATTCTTATCTATATTTTCTTATTTTGTACAGGGCGTTACAGAAGAACCAGACCTTGACCACGTTATTGAAAGACGTTAGCGCCGACCTTGAGACAAGCAGGAAGAGGATCGAGGACACTCTCAAACATTTTGAGGACGACACACCTCTTACAACTGCCGTGCCGATAAAGTCAATTGATAAACGATTGAGGCAAGCATCATCTTTTGATGAACAGGATGACAACAGTCCCAACTCCGAAGAAGCTCAGGCCGCAGCGTCAGTTGGTTCCATCGAAGAACTAGATTTCTTAGAGGGAGATCAACTACAAAACGAAGACGCAAGTGAAACAGACTACATGGGCCGCAACTCCCAAGTCCAGTGGTTACGGAGCCCTCAGGGAAAACTAAGACAGCCTGAAAAGGAAGGGTATGTACTGTGGAGGCAGCTAGTGACGGTCAAAGAGGAGGGCTTTGACTGCTTTGACTTCAAACTCGGTCACCGCCGCAAACTTCAGAGGGCGATAGCCATTATGGATGGCTATCCGCAGTCAGAACCTCTGCCATCTTATGGAGTGAGAAATACTTAGGTCAACTCCACTTTGGCAAGGGATATGCCCTCTTTCTCTGATCGCCTCAAGAATCGGTCTGTGCTACCAACGACAAAGGAAAGCAAGCAATCGCAAAAATACTTGCATTCTGATGCGCATGGGCCGAGAAGAGCTACTAGAGATCTAACTGAAGCACCTCACCACGCCCCTAATGATTGCAGTGATCATGCAAGGAGCTATTCATTGTGTAGCCGTACAACAGCTGTATCCCCAACATATGCAGACCCTTTCCATCTTTATACGTGCTTGCAACAACGGCGTTCTTTCAGTAACACTCATTCCGCTTGCCGAAGCCTAGACTCGGATCTTGGTATTCTGTATTATGCCATGCCCGCTGTGTGAGACCTGCCCACCCTGTTCTTTACATGCCACCCAACTTATGATAATTCCCTTCAACGAGCTGAAGCAGTATTCGGCTACTGCTTGGTATATGTATCGGTTGCGATTTGCTTGAGAAGGACGAGGACGTGGTAGGTCGGACGAGGGATTAGCGGCGAGCCAGCGGAGCTGTAGAGCGGCGCGATGGTTTATCCCTATAGCATAAAAGTTTTCGCATTAGCTATGGTCGTGCATTGCACTGCATCTTGAAGTTGCGCGATACCTGTATTGGAAGCTAATTGCAGTTTCGATGCTGGGTGTGTTCGTTGACATGAGCTATACGCCAGGGCCTTTCAAACCTAGCCCTGCTCCCAATCCGAGCCGGTTTTCGGGTGACCCGGAGCGCTTGGCAAAAGTGTCGCACGGCCACACGGTCACACAGCCACAGATCTAGCGTTAGCAGCGATAGATTACAGCTAAGCTGCTTTAAGCTAGGTGTGCGGGTCTTCCTTATCTGGCACTTCTAGCAGGCGAACTTGGAACTAGCACAGAAGCACAACAGCCTCTCGAGCTTAAGCGCCGTGCTCGGGATAGGATGATGATACAACAAGCTGTAAGTTGACGGACTTTCGACAAGATGCATGAGCGTTCGACGCACCTACTGCTAGCTAAAGCGAGGCGGTCGCGTGACGCTCATACCAAATTGTCGTATTGCACGGTAAGCCGAACCTATTTCTAAAAGATATCAGGAGAGAATAGACGTTGTAGGTTAAGGCTAGTATTCCGAGAACATCTATTCTTCTAACCTGTTGTTGAGTTTGTTACAGTCGCGAGCACAATCGGTTTCCGCTTCTGCCGTCAGCTTTGTTCTCGCCGCACGGTTCACACGACAAGGGTACTTCTACATCAATACTAGCGTTTTGCAGGGTAGCAGTGTAATCTATAACGCTTGCTGTACAGTACCGTACGCTCAGATGATAACAAGTCATCCTCGATTCGTAGTAATCTATTACAGTCGTCCAACAGTATCGAAAATGAAGGTGTACAAAGCGAGCAGTTGTAGAAACGCAAGATGCAATAAACAGCTTCTTATTCAAGATAGAACTGTTCTGTGAGTAAATATCACAGTGCTAACGCCGATCCTTAAGTAGGCAAGGCAAGGTAGAAGGCCTATAGTCATAGAGGTACGCTCCGTATAGACTTCTAAACGACATAACCACTAGGACTAGCTACGATACTGGAGAGCTCCCGCAAGACACAGACGATGCTTCGTCCGAGTTAACAGCTAGCTCAGCATACATGTCAGCCAAAGCTTCGACTGACACCAGCCGCGAAGGATGGTCATCTCGAAGAGTGCGAGCTTTGATAATAACGACACGCTGCAGCAGCGCTACCGCCTTGTGCACCTGCCCGTCTGCTTGGTACGCTATTGCGAGCTCGTGCTGCGACGCCAGTCGGTCCGGATGCTCTGCTACCAGCGTCTTCTCTCCGACTTCGACCACGTGCTGCAGCAGCGCTATCGCCTTGTGTACCTGTCCATCTGCTTGATATGCGCCTGCGAGTACGTGCTGCGACGACAGCCGACCTGGATTATCTTCGCTGAGTTGGCTCCTCTGTTGACACGACCTTTCTAGCCACACTACTGCCTCCTGAACCCTGCCATCTTCTTGCAGACACCGTCCCACTAGCAGACACAGCTCAGACTGGTCCTCTGCACTGCTGTCCTGCCTATCGTCGAGCAGCCGCAGTGCGTGCGGCAGGTACCCTCTCCACACGGCCTGATTCTCGTAGTCGTCTGACGGAAAGACATCTGCGACGTGCCGCAGTGCGTCCTCTGCTACCTTGCTTGCGTTGCCGTGCTCCTTGACCCAGATCCGTGTGGCCAGGTGGACGAGTCGGTGGATATCGTACCACTCTTCTGTCTCTTCCTCTGTCTCTTCGCTCTCCTCTTGTGTGCCTGGGCTATCGCCATCCCGCCTCACCAAGAACGAGTATCCGCACAGCGTGCCAATGGCCTCCTCCATCTCCCCTTCCGACTGTGCCTCTGGCAGCAGCGAGCACGGTATGGCCTTCCACTCCACGCACGACATGAACGCTAGCAGATCTGCCGCTACTGCATCGCGCTCGCGGATCTGGCTGAACGACACCACCCACGTCGTCGCCACTGCGTTCGCCGAGCCCTTGTACCGTGTGTTATTGAAATCGAACGTCTCGTCGCGGATCTCAACCATTCCGTCCAGCTCTCGTAGCAGTTCCGCTGTGGAGAGCTGTTGACTCGGTGCCTCGCTCCACTTTTAGTCCTCTGTCCTCGGTCGGAGCTTGGTGAACTCATTCTTAATCTCCATGGTATCATGTTTTTGCCGCGCTGGATGTCTTCCACCTCGTACCAAAGCTCCCGTACTTCATCTGGAAAATGGTTCGCACCCAGAATCCTTCTCTTCACCTCCCGGTTCAGCAGGTTGCGATCGCCTGTAGATTTGACTGGGCTTTTCGATCGACTTCTCGACGACTCGGTCGACTCGAGCGTTGTTATATAGCCTTCTTGACGATGCTCGCGGTGTCAAACGGAGTGTGTTGCGATCAGGAGGACATCAAGCGACGCTCTGCAGAGATCCAACGAGATTCCGCAGTCGCCAGTGTAGCCATCTCTTCTAGCACATCATTCTTCGAGCTACAAAGAGCCACCACCTCAACCGTGACCTCGTCATGCCTCTGGCTCGATGACCTTGTCATCCGCCATCCTTCCGACGCTTTGTTGTTGCCTCGATCCGTCCACCATCGACCGTCTCATTCGTAGAGCAACGTACGTGGTAGACTTCTGCGCGTGTGCGAAGCAAGCGTGGTATAGGCCGGCTGGGAACATGCTCCAACTGGTCGCGGGCTGCGAAGATTTAGTCGATCCATGCACTGATACTGCGTGGCCATGAATACATGCTTGAGATCAGAGGAGCTGTAGACGTCCATGATGAGTGCGCATTGCAACGGTGCGCTACAAAAATGAGCTGTGGGCTGATACGAGTGTAGTTGGAGCGCCAACCGGCAAGGGTCTGGGGATAGAACATCCCAAACTTGCTTATCGATAACGATATCATCCTCCTGGGCGGGATCTCTCGGCTATGCCACCACTATATAAGCACCTCTCCGCATCGCAATTTGCAATCACCTTCTTGATCTGACTTAGAATGAGAAATAATCATAGGATTCTCTTTTTCATTGCTTTTTGTGCTAGACTGGAGCACCTCTCTGTCAATTCAGGTACCAGGCGGGCGATCAACTAGCTCAACATCCGAATCCGATCGTTCTGTGTAGTAAATGTTCACATCAGTCGACTTAGAGATTACACCAAATGGAAGACTGCCAGACCTAGACCTTTGCTGCTGCTCGGAGTCATGACGCAAGTACGACCCTTTGCCTAAGCCGTCACGGTCGTAGTGACCCTTGCTTGCGTAGCTACTTATGTCGCGGAAGCGCCTCGATGTCTTATGCAGGATACTACGCATGGCTGGCATGCAGGCAACGATTGTAAAGAGGTTGGATTCGGTCGCGCACCAATAAAGACCGGAAGTATTGTCGTCTGCGAGACATAACATTAGCGGTTAAGATCATAGCGCTGCTGGGGTGGACACATACAGGTTGGGTTCTGAGTTTTAGCAAATTGCACAAAGGCCTGGAGTCGAAGGCAGCTGACAATCGTAATGATGAAACCGACACAGAACATGGACATGATCTGGAGCTTCTTTTTCCTTGACATGTTCAGTTTGGCCAGCATGGGCAGAGGTAGAATCAGAATAGCCGGGCATAGCTGCGGGCTTCGCGGCTGAAACCGTGTAGGAATCAACCAACTAACCAACCAACCCAAGTTCTTCCTCGGAGTGGTGCTGCGTTTAACGACCTCCACTGCTGTTAGGTAGGACGCAGACTGGCCCTTGCGATGTGTGGTAGAAGCTTTTTACCGCTGAGTCAGTCCGACATTGCTCGCTGATGGCTTTC